GATTTCAGCTTCGCGCTGGTGTTCCTCCTTCCCAAATGCAAACCATACATGGCTGGTGTCAAACACACCTAGCTGTTTGCAATTTGGTTGACAAGCAAGCACAATGGCGCCATCTCCTGGATTCGTTCCAACTGATTCTTCAACTCGGGAACCTATGCAGACAAGACCTTGCCTTACACTTCCACACTCCAAAGTCTGCTGCCCCAGTATGCATCAATCGATGTATTTCGAACAAACCACCAGTGCTGTTTGGTGTTTCATGCGGATTTAAACTATAGCTATGTATTAGATAACATAGTCTTTTTCTCAAGAATGTTAGAAGGGCGTCAACTGCCTGCCTGGGAAGCCTCTGCCCGGAGGACTTCGGCTTCGCGCTCGTGTTCCTCCTCCAACTCACGACATGGCAGGGCACCAACTAAACACAATGCTTTGCAGCTTGCCTACAGCGAGGATCAACATGTTTCCACACCAGAACTGTTTCTTTCTCCTGGATTTGTTCAATCTTCTTCTTGAGCTCTGGAACCTGCTTGCTGCTCGCAACATTCGCCAAAACAACAATGATTGGCCTGGGAGGCCTCTGCTCGGAGGATTTCAGCTTCGCGCTGATGTTCCTCCTTTCCAAAAACAGAAACAAAAGCACTTGTCCTTCTGCAAAGTGGCCAAACTTAAGTGTGACTGGCTCTAAACACACACTTGTTGGCTCCAAAACAGACCACTTTGGGTGACTCCGATCTCCCATCTCCTGGAGTTGTTGCAGCTTCCTCTTCAATTCAGGAACCTGTGAGGATAATAGTTCAAAGTAAAGACGAAGGGGCTCCTGGCCATGCTACTAGGAGCAAATAGCTACTAATAATTACTAATAGCATCAACGCTCCTAGTTGCGATGCCCTTTGCCCCTAGTAGCGTCCTTGCTCCTAGTGGTTCTGAACTTCTCAGAATGCCTGGGAAGCTTCTGCTCGGAGCACATCCACTTCGCTCTGATGTTCAGCTGCTGTGGCTTTCCACGCCTCCTGAGACTGAGATCTGGGACATCCAAGAAACACAAAAAAGCTGCGCCGATCTGTTGCGAAGTCTTTGTACGACCGAAGACCCCTAAGCTTCGGGGAAAGATCAGACAAGTGCGTTGAACCATTCGGTGAGCCCAGCACTTGAACCCACCGACGCGACTGTGTGCTGTTTGCCGCTGCGTGTAATTGGAGTCTGTTGACCAGGCTTCAGCGTGATGTCTGTTCCACAGTCAAGCTATGGTTAAGGTCCAGGTTCTTGACTTGAGTGCTCTCGAACAAAGAACCTTCAATCTCATCTTGACGAAACCGCCTCTCCGATAGCTTTCCGTAGTGCTCCCTCCCCACGCAAAAGGTAAATCAAATGTGCATTAGTCTATTAGTGTATCCCGAGCATTTGTTGCCTCAGTCGCAACTATTTCTGATGAAAGGAACAATCGGGACAACCCAAAAAAAGTTAAATTAATAATATCTAATAAATATACCCTAGAAGTCCAAAGACTATATTTTGCCCCACTGAAGTAAAGCATATTCCTTTTCGGGTCACCTAAAAAACATTCTTTTTATAGTCTTTGACTCCCAGGGTATATATATAATATATATATATATTGGATTATATTGGTATGTTTTTGCCCCCTCAGAACTCACTCCTGGCTCAAATCGCAAAGACTATTCTGGCAAGCTGTTGAGCCACGAGTCTTGAGGGACGTCTTGGTGGTTAAACCCTTTCACCCCGAATTAGGATCCATCAAAACCTTGATTGAGGAAGCCAACAATCAAACGCATGCAAGATCGATGGAATCATCCCAAATCATCCCAAATTCAAACATTGATATGGGGTATATCCGGATAGATCCAAGCCGAATGTATTTCATGGCGGAGTCTGAAACGACGACCACGGCAGGGCCGGTCGTGACGACCGCAGGCAGCCTGCGCCTCTTCGAGCTTCGCGGCGTCGCACTCGTGCTGGATCTTCAAGGCGCGATGGTTCGCCTCTTCGAGACACGCGCGCGAGACGCACGCGGCGCTGTTGAGGCGCCCTCATACACCAGGCACTGTGCCGTCTCTCAGCCCTGCGACGTCGCCCTGCATTTCATCGCGCAGCGCGATGACAGCGACGCCCGACTTAGTACCACCGGCGAGGTCCCCGAGTAAAGAAATGTCACGGAGGGAGGCCGGCGGGGTTCGGTCCGCGACCTCGACCGATGACCGAAGTTGAATCCCTATGGGCCTGAAAAACCTGGATCATCGAAACCTGTCACTAACAAGGGATCTGCTTTGGATCGTTTTTCTTCGCTTCCGTGTTTATCTGGTCGGTGAGTCGGTGGTTCCGAAAAGACCGTGGGATGCTTGAAATTCAAGAACCCAAAACCTCTGTAGGGTGCTCTTGGATCTTCCGAAGATCCCTCGACCAGTACTCGCGACCACACCACTCCCACGAGTTTCGGCCACTCCTCCACCTCAGCCAGTTGCCGCTTGAGCTCGGGAACCTACCGGGCCCAGGCCGGGCCGGGTGGAGGGAGGAGAGGGAGGAGATGAGAAGTGGCCCCTCTTGAGATGAAGACACATCGTGTTTGGACCATGCAAAAAAACTGCGTTCTATGACTATGAGGATAGATGCTGCTGAGGATGGGTAGGTGCACGATTTTTGAGCCATGTGGTTCCTTGATGTTCCATGTGGTTCTTCAACCGGTTCTTTTTCTTTTGGCAGCAATGTGGGCGTATGAATTGGGATGAAGAGCTCATGTCTTGCTGTGGCCCAGCTTGTCCAGGCATCTAAATTTAAAGGCTCCCCAAAATCAAAACCTGCGGGGCACAGTTGGAAGACGCATGGGCTGACACTGTGTACCTTATGGATACAGAATGGCGGTCTCATCGGTTTCGTACTGTTTTCTCACTCATCTTTGTCGCAGAGTTCCGGAAAAGTTCTCCTGTGCGGTTCAGGAAGGTCATTGAGTCATTGACATCGCCTCTCCAGAAGCTGCTTGCTTGTAAGAGCTTGGGCAAATACCCAGGCAGCTCATGCCCAAAGAGAAACACCCCGACTCGGTCTTGGAGCGAATAGGTATGCTGGCAATGGAGTCTGCGAGTTCACTTGTCTCACACAGCGAATGTTCAGCGGTGCAGACGTCCTGACACTGAGATCGTGTCCACGCATGAGCACGCGTTGCCATCTGGTAGCAGCCGATGTTGCATTGGAAAGACATTGGCCCACAGCCACCTGTCCCACTCCGAATTGGAATGTTGCTAATCTGGTTCGCCAGCTGCTCCGCAAAGTGAGTGCTTCACCTGACAAAGGCTGCAAGCACTTCTTCTACTGGTCAATGAAGTCCCCAGCCCTAGGAACCCCAGAAGTTCCAGAGGCCAGAACGAACCAAACACCAAGCACCTGAAAGGCCCGAAAGGCCTGAAAGGCCTGAAAGGCCATCACTGAATTGAGAAACCGAGAAAAATGGCCAGCCCTTCAATGGTCTCAGATACTTCATAATAAGTACAACTCCCACAGTCAGTGAATGGATCACAAAAATGGGGCAAGGTGGATCAAGCTGCAATTCCTTGTTGCTTAGACTTAGACCGCTTTAAGTGTCCGGTTCCCTTCCAGATGGGTTTTCTATGTCACCTCTCTTCATCCACGCATCCACCTTTCTCAAACCTCGGATCCATGCCTTCTCTTCGGCGTTGGCGAGGGACTGCCGAAGATCCTTGATGGTGGCCTGGCTGGCCTCCTCAGCGATGGCCCCCCCTGAAACCCCCCATGCCATGGGGGACCGTGGGGGACCGATCCACACCGATTCGGAGAAGGTTGGGCGAACGAGAGGTCCTATCCCACAAGTTTGAGAAGTGGTTCAAGATGTTCATCAGCGGGCGAGTTGATATTCCTCCAATTCGGGGCTTATTCATATGGAAAACCATGAAACATGCCCTTCTCTTCTCTTTAAAAAACAAAACAAAAGCATCTGAACACATCATCCACCGCACTTCGTCTCGAGTCCGTCCTTGGATGTCCCCGAGCCACCGGTGTCGCACGGTTTCGCCCTCTCCTGTGCTTCACTGAGGGTGAAGTGTCGCCCACGCAGCTCCGCAAACTGCCACGGGACCCGGAAGGTGGGGGGCGTTCGGACGGGGGCGATGCCCTCCAATGGTTGAGTGATGAGTGGTTCTTAGGTTCTTAGTGGATGGTGAAGGTCCCAAGATCCTTGGAAGCTGACTCCGTGCCCCCGAGGTGCCAAGGTGCGTAAGCCAAGTGTCAAAGCCAAGTGTGGCACTCAATACAAAACAAGTTCTACACTCTACAGACTCTGCAGGTAAGTCAGTGCAATTACATAATAGTTAGCACTTCTGAATGAGGGGGTATTGTTTACAACCCTGCCATGTTTCGGAATCAAACAAAGGAACAGCCCTTCCTTTAGCTGAGCTTTTGCGTTTCCGCGACCTGTTGGATACTGAGTGTTGGTCAAGTCTGACCGCCAGCTATAGTGCAAGGTTTTAGAAACAGAAACCGTCAACTGTCACCTGTAAGGAGATGGGCAGAACCAAAAACATGACTTGGCCTGCTAGAAACTTAGAGATGCACACCCTCTCCTTCCACATGCCTTCCAGCAACTGTGGCTAGAGCTGGTGGTTGCAAGTGCATTCTACTCGGAATCAGCGATTGAGGCCACAAGTTCCATCTGAGATGAAGGTCCACAATCAAGATGCTTGCGCTCAACAACATGAAAATAACAAGCCTTCTTGTATTAGGATGCAGTCTTCTAGGGAGCACTGTCCACATTCCGCGTTTGTTTTGGGAGCGTGTAGGTCGCAGAATGCGGTCATTGCCCAAAGCCGGATTGTCAATTTATCAACCAGACCTCCTATTCCAGCCTCCTACTGGAACAGACATTGTCTCTGGGAATAGGAGAAACATGCAGATGGAAAGCTCAGCCATTCCAAATCCAAATATATAGTTAAATGGAAAGAGCCGAAAGGGTGGTATGGTCGCCGTGAAAGCCCCCCTCCTGATTTTTGTCCAATGCATTCTCTTAGTTCAAAGCAGAAAAAACCAATTGGGGCACCGAACTGGCCGACCGACGGTCGCCGCGATGCTCTCCCACCTCTGCGGCTACGGACTGCGCGGATGCAGTCAGCCTCAGCGCGGTGCGTGCGGTGTCCGGGCCCGGCAAAGAGATGTCACGTTTCGAGATCCAGACGGCCAGGGTGAGGTACTTGAGATGAAGATGTTTGGAGAGAATTCTCAAGTGGTTCGAAACCCACGCGTCGTCGTTGACCAGTTCCCTCCGGTGTCGCTACACGCGCCGAAGGGGAACCACCGAAAGAGCCGGGGGCGGCGTGGAACGGCCCTGTCTCCAAAGCATGGCGCTGAAGGGCCCTGAGAAAAGTGAATTCTGTCTATCGAACGGTGAACGGTGACCAGAACGCCAAAAGCCCCCAAACCATTACAACACCTACCATACCTACAAAAAGAAAGTCCCTAGTTTGGAACAAGGCTTTGGAACAATAAACCAGTGCTTTTCGAAGACGCTATCGCCCATCGCTGAATTTCGCCCGTTGGGCTCCCCGCTGTGCCACCCGTTGCTCCGCCTGCGCGCGCCCACGTTCCTGAGCCGCCATATAACAGGGGTGGGTTTATTGGAGAATGAGGTCACAAATCCAACCAGATCTCCACCAATCTGTTTTGAGGTCACAAATCCCACCCAAAGATGCAGCCTCCAGGTAGGAGGCCGTTTCAGGTCGCCATATGTCATGATGCGACCAGTGGTAGCAGGTCATCACAGCCCGGCTATGCCCGCCTCCTCTCTCAGCCTTTGCTGCAACTCTTCCTGATTGACCTGGCAAGGAGCGCCGGTCAGGGCGGAGTGCGTGCAGCGGTTCGTTCCGCCCAAAAGGGATTAAACGACCTGCCATGCACCGTGAGCGGCATGAAGTTTCCCCTCACTGACACCCCCAAGCAAGCAGGGAGGGTAAGGGGATCTTTGGAGACCATCAAGATATCCCTGTGAGTTGGTCCTCCACCTCCATAAGCCTACCTTCCTTTCAATGATTCAATGTATCAAATGCCGCGCGTTTCGCCGCGCGTCGCGGTCCGCGCGTTTCGCCTCTTTGGGCCCGAGTTTGGAGCCCTTCTCTCGGGATGGAGGCCGATTCTCCTGCAGATTGGCTCTCGAAGTGGGCGATGTTTGCATATGAGTATGGCTCAAAAGTGAAGTGTTTAGGTCTAAGGCTCCCATGAACTTGGGGAAGGCTATCTATTGTTGAAGACTCAGAGATGCTTCAGACAACCCGTCGAGGTGCTCCTCGACTGGAGATCTCTGCTAGTCTATCCCTTTCTTGAACCCAACATTCAACTGAAATGGTCATTGACTGCAGACAGGCTACACTTGTCTCCAGGTGTTCTGTCCTCCGAAGTTCCAGACCCCTGCCGTCCTTGCAGTCCTTGCATGCCTTGCACTTCCGCGATGGGGCCTCCCAGTTCGCGAACGCCGAGTGAGGCGACTTGACCGGCCCACCCGGGTGTCCACGCCGAATGTGGAGACGACTCCCCCCAACAGAAACGCCGTGATCTCAGGTGACCTTTTGGTGCCGGGGCAACGAGTGGACCCTTAAAGATCCTAAAGGATGTCTGAGTCTGCGGAGGTCCTTCCTTGACCGACCTTCAGTGTGATGAGAGGGCGGACTCCTCCCTTCACATCAGGATCTGCTCATGTTTGGGTGTTTTGATGTATGTTGACCCGGTGCTCGTCGTCGAGTTCCGTGGAATACGTCCTGGGCTGTTCAGAAAAGATGGTTCCCTCCGAGCTATTCGGCTAAGACAACATCAAACTAGCAGATCTTGGCTTCTCTTATTGAGCAAGCACGTGCCACTGGATCCAAAGACTCAGATGAAGACCAGCACTGAATGATCGATCGTTTGCTCAATAGCATCAGTGACTTTCAAAGGTGTGGCCGTGGCTGCACAGAAACCCCTCGAGTTCACCAGTTCCACTAGAGTTTCTGAGCTTGATACCGTATGGTCATCGAAAGGGGTGCAGTTGACGTGTGAAATGGATAAAAGAACCCATACTTGCAGTAAAAGAAAGAAACATCAGGCACCATTGAGCGCCCTTGAGACTCTCGCCTGCGCCACATAACTCCCAGGTCCAGGCGTGTCCCCTGCCATCTGCTCCTGGCGTGGGCAGATTTGGACATCCCAGGTCATCCCAGTTGTGGAACGCTGAAAACCTCCATTTCTTCACAGGCAACCGAATCTCATATGAAAGATGACCCCCAATTCTAAGGCTTCCCAAACCACTGTGTCTAGCAGTGTCCTGTGTCCTTGCCACCTCAACACAAATGAGTTGTTTCTGGATGCCCCTTCGACCTGGAATGGTGGTTTCCCAGGCTTACGAAACATTGTAAATAAAAAAACACCCACAAGACATGCATGAACGGCCAAGCTCGGTTCCCACGGTGTCACTCCGGAAACCGTCACTCCGTCCCAGTCCGTCCTGAAACCGCTCGCTGGAAGCAGCAATGGTGACGGAGTGCTCGTCCAGGAGGCTTGGAAGATCGTAATAGCCAGGGCCGATCTGAGCACATCGCTCCAAAGAAGAGCTGGAGGCCAGAGGAGAGTCATTTTTTCGAGCGGCGGTTGTTGTTTTACAACCAAACAAGTGTGTACACATGATCTTCTAAGGTACAGCACCTCCAAGGCACGCTTGCAAGTATGGTGCAGCAGCCCTGCACCCAGGTAGGTGATGCGCAGTCGATTTGCTTGGTCTTAATGTAAGTGCCCAGCACCTACCGTGTGACCGGCACTTCAGAATTGGACCAACCGAGTGTCCTTGAGAAAGGATCTTGGACCTTCACAATGGCTGCCAAAAGCGTTGTTATGATATTGAGATATATTGAGGATGTTTGAGCAACCTTTCAAAGGATGCCGAGTCATGTTACGCAGCATGAGGCTTGAAGATAGAAGTTCATGGCATGGCCACGAAAGGAGGACATATATACTTGAGTTAATCTTCGTTGAACACTTTCCACCAATTACATCCAATTACAGTAGAACTTAAGTCAGCAGGAAAACCCCAAATAGCAAAAGATCCAGCGCGTGGGCGCCGCCCCTTTGGGGGGCGCGGCACCAGGAGCGGCACCTGGACCCGTATACGAAGTAAGTCAAAAGCTCCGATCATCGTCGTCCCTTCTCATGGGGGACCAGCATGGACCCCAAACAGCTTAGTCGGTGGTGGGCGGGTGGGGCGGCCCTCGGGCCCCTGCCTCGGAAAGCGGACAACAGAAAGACCACAAAAGGATGAGGGAAGGAAAACAACACGAACACACCAAGAGAACCAAAGACGGACATCGGACCGAGCAGGAATATGGAGCCCCTCAGGAGCCAGCTGGCTTAGGGCCTTGTGACAAGAAGAGGACAAGAAGAGGTCAAGAATAGAACAAAAGGAGGACAAAAGGAGGACAAGGAGAGGGAAAGGCGAGGACAAAAAGAATACAACACGAGGACAAGGGCTGGAGACCGGCTAGCAGGCGCGCCAAGCTGGAAGAAGGACAAGAATTCGGACAACAGGTGAGCAAGAATTCGGACAACGACCGGACACAGCTTAGCACACTAGCGGTTTCTTGATCCGCACTGCGGTCGTTGAGGTGATTGATTGATCTAAGACTTCTGAAAAAGGGTGGTTCAGAAGAATCAACTACTGTCTACATGATCGGCTAGGGACTTATCTTCTAGTCTTCCTGGAGGTGTGCCATCTTCTCGGCTTTCACGTCGTCGTTCATTCGTCGGTCCACCCCGCGTGTGGCGGCGGCGACGTCTGGGCGTCCCCACCGGATTTCCCGGCTTGTCTGCAGCGAAGCGCGGCGATTTTTGCTTCGACCACATCATCTGGGCGCAGCGATTTTTGCCCAGTCGGCGAAAAGAACTGGGCGGATGGAGACGCTGCTTGGAAGAATCAACCGGAGACTCCAGGCTCCCATTTGGATCCAGTATAAGATGATTGTTCCGTCCCCCAGGCAGAACACAGTGAAAAAGAATGAAAAGATTGAAACAAAATAATACAGGAGCCAATGGGAATCATCGGCTTGCAACCCTTCCAACCTGCATCAAACCGTTCATCGCGCCTTCGCTCCCACAGCGCGTTTTGAGCCGCCCCAAAGCTCTGAACCACGCAGGAGGACCGATGCACCGCGTGCTGAAAGCGAGGGTCGGTCCACCGCGTGTGAAGACACGCGTGTTTTCGGCAGGCTCACTCGACTGGCACCCACCACTCACTTGCTGGGTGGTCAACAAAGGTGGGGTCTGAAGTACTGAGCCCTGCGGTCACTGACCTTTGGGGAGAAAGTCTAAAAAGCTCCAAAGCACAAAGCGCATCCCAAAAGGCCACGTCGGCGTGACCCACCCGGGAATCAACGAATTGGGCGTGTGTTGCTGCGCCGCTTTTTTGTTCTTTTTCTGCGCGGTCGTTTTCTGCAGAGCTCTCACTGCAGCAGAGATCGTCCAGTCTGGCAAGCTATGTACAAACCTTTGGGGGCGTCACATGGCTGTGCTTGCTGCCGGCACACGGATCCCCATCCTCGCACGGGGAAGAGTCTCTGCCCACTGGAGATAATCCATGATCATCCTACAAAGGAGAGAGGTCTTGACTGAAGACAAGTACAACCTTTGTAAGAAGGCAGGTGCCCGACTGAACATCTACCCAAAAGCGGACTGTGTCACCATGGATTCTGCGATTAGCTGTTCAACCTGGCTCACACCGAAGAGCTGTTCCCCTCAAGAATCTGAACCAAGTCACACGAAAATCGATTCGAGAAATGGATCCCCTTCAAAAATTGAACTGAAAACCTTTGAAAACAATTTCTATTCTGGGGCCACTCAAAGTCTCCCTCTCAAACGAGCTGATCTTCTGAGGCAGTGAGTTACACTCAGACAGCCTGAGTCGCTTCGTCTGTCCTCCTTTTGTCCCCTTCCAAAAAGGTCCACCGGGGAATCGGGGAGACACAAAACGCCGAACTGACACGTATCGACGGTTTCGATAGAAGCCAAGAGGTATGGCTGGGTTCCCTCGATCTTCAGTGTGAATGGGCCAAACCAAACGATCGCCCCAACGTCGGAAATTTTTTGATCTCAAGATATCTCAGGTCTCGGGTGCAAAACCCCAAACTATACACATTGTAAGTGGTTTTGAATTAATTTCTTTGTTTATATCTATATAAGGGCCGACAATTTACCTGGAATATGATTGTCCTCCTCAATAATTGTTTAAGTAGCGGTCCTTTGATGGTTCGAGTCGCCCACTGTTGGACTGCTCTCCGGGCCTTCTTCCCAGGTCCAATGGCCGGTAGGTGACCCCCTGCGTGGCGCCTCTGAGTGAACGCATGAAGCGAGGAGGAGCAGAGGTAGGGCGTCCTTAGGAACTCCACAGCCTGCTTTGGTGTGAATCTTTAGTACCATAATGGAACAAACAGTTCCAGGGAGTAAACAGAGTAAACCGGACAATGAAATATGACCTTCTACTCAACAGGTCAGCTGCGAGAGGTGCTCATGCATTATTGCATATATACATATATCATTCACTTTGAGGGGATCTTGGTGAAAAGGAACTCACGTTGAAACCCCCCGAATTACGTAGTTAACTTGGGTTTTCTGCTCGAGAAAAAACTGCTGATTGCCGATTGGAGTCCTGATCAGGAATGGTGACTAAGCATTCATATTCTCGTGTACCAACAACCCTTGTGGGTTCGATTAACCCAACGCTGGCCCTAACACTTGACCAAACACAGCCCAGTCATGCGGCACCTGGCAAACTCGAGAAACGTTGCCTCAGCGCTGAACATGCGGCAGGTCTGGTAGCATGGAGATGGATGATCGTTTGCACAAAGAAATGAAGGAGCTAAATTTGTCGGTCGCCCGGACCCGTTTCATGGGATTCTGCGGAGTGGAATATATAGATATATTTTTTGATTTGTGTGCCACGCAGCCCCTTTTTCTGTAACGGGGCAGCCTGAAAGTGTTGTTGGCCAGTGCCTATCGAATTTTGGCTGCTGTGAGCGGATCTGAACCGACTGATCAGCCAGCTCATCGGTGTAGACTGCAGAGGGCTTTGACCATTACCCAGCTATTTGAACATGCTGGTGCCTTCCGTCACATGTCCGCCTCAGCAATGAAGTGTCAATGCCGGAGGTGAAGAAAATAAATTCTTTCTTGTGGATCGAGCCGAACATGCAGGAGGCCGTGATCGTCTCAAGAGCCCCCCAGGTGGAGCAAAGGAACTCCCACTCAGGAAGCCTCCTCATCTTGCTCCGTCTTGGTTGCTCCAGCAGGCTCGGGACATAGGATCTGATTGCTAGCATCATGAGGGAACCGTCAAAGGTCTGGATCTTGGCGGGCTCCCGACTCTGGAGTCGAACTTCAGGGCAGAAGGCCTGGGAGATCTCTTCCCGGAGGCGAATGGGAAGTCCTGCTTGTGGGCTGGGAGCTCCTTGGAAGAGGCCGGAGGCGTAGAGCTCATCAGCCTTTCTACCCGGTCTTGGCGCTGAGACATAGCTTCCAATTGGGATGACATAGCAAAGCACCTTGGAGATCTCTGCTAGCTGCTCTGCTAACGTAGCCCCACCAGGGCCTTCGCCTTGGGCTGCCTCGATGAGGCCTTTGGAGCCGGGGTCGCAGGAAGGGGGGGGATCTGGGTCTCTTCTGCCGAATAGAATTGGGTCCTCCCCTCTATACCCTCTTCCACAAAGGCGTAAGCCGCAAGAAGTAGGGAATTGGGCTCTGGCAACATTTCCATGTGAGGAGCCGAGAAACACCGGATGCCTGGTCCTTCTGTGACTGGGTCGAAGCCTCGAACATATTCCAGTACACTCTTCCAACAGCACTGGATCTCCTTGGTTTCCGTTCCATCCAACTCCTCGAAGACTGCCGGAAGCACCACCCTCGTCGAAGGACCTACCAGGTCTTCCATCGAAGCATAGGCCCCTGCCTGGAGTACCTCCGGAGAGAAAGCCCCATCTGGCACTGCGATCAACACTCCTCTCCTGATTGCCGACTCAAAACTGGAATCGCAAAACTCTCCACCTGTCCCCCATCCCATGCCGTGAGGTCCAAGCTCATCACATAGGTCTGGCAGACTCCTTGGTCCAAAAACTGAATCTGACCACTCGCCGCCATCTCTACAGGAAAACTAATTCCAGCGGCAAGGCAGTAGACCCTAGCCTCGGCTTGGCTCGGGAAGGAATGGCTGACTGAGTTCTCGAAGCGTGGCAGGAGCTTGAAGTACTCTGCGGCTGAGGAAACTCGAGTGGGTCGTTGCACTCCTGGACCCTTGAGGATGATGCAAGTCGTGGCCTGCAGTGCAATCTTGGGCGTAGGGCGAGGCTTTGGGATCTTTCCTTCCAGTGTGGCCTTTGCCCAGCAGCCGGCAATCCAGGCACGTGTGGCACGGGACTTGACCTCCTCTGTCGTGCCGCCCAGGCGACAACAAAGATCAATGCAATGATCAGGCAGTGGAACTCGGTGACCAGGTCCCAATCGACGGTGTCGGTTGAGAGCTCAGTGACCCTTTCGGACCCGGATGCTGGTCCCCTCTCAGCGGCGGCTGCAGCCCTCTCAAGATTGTCAGCTAGGCCCCGAAGAGCGCGAGCGGAAGCTCGAACAGCCTCAATCAAAAGATGGAGAGCGGCCGGAGCGCTCATGCAAATACGCCGAGAGGCGTAGTGGTCGAAGCGCTGCACCGAAGCAGCTGATGAAGATCCCGGAGGCCAAGGATGGAGGTAGAGCCAGCAGCACAGGAGAGCCGCGGACAGGAAGCCGAGGCTGAAGCCTGTGATCAAGAATCAAGCAAGGTAGGGCGCCGATGCCGAGCAATGCGACGGGCAAGCCAGACCAAACCAGCCGGACGCACTACCGACCGAAATGAGCCGGAGAAGAAGGTCTCCGACCCAAGGATGCATGAAGCTTGAGCAGCGGCCAAGGCAATCAGAGTTAAGGATCAGGGCCTATAGGGTCTGGAATGGTCTGGAGTCTGGAGTTTCATTAGCTTGTATGTTGTAGGGGATGGAATAGCCACACCCTTTGATCAGACGGTCTTCCTCACCCTTTATGGCGGGACACCAGGAATTCCACTCTCAAGGCGTTGGTTGAAATGAAAGTGACAAGTTCATTGGTCAAATCATGCAATTTTTTTGGAGAAGATCAAACTAACTGTTCCCCAAGGACATGGACACGTTTGGTATTGAAGATATTTTGGCATGACTTGGTTCTTTTGGGTCAGTGAAATCATGAAACATGCAAACTCCCACAGGCCGAGATCGAGACCAGGGTAACCATATAGCTTTTGAGCTTCCATCCCGATGTATCGATGTCCCCGACCAAGACATTCGTCTCAGCCTCCCCCATCCACACCGCCTCTTTCCGAAACGGACCAGGCACCGATTCGAAACGCACCCACCACGCTTCGCCAGAGTCCAGGGCTGGGGGAGGGTGGAGTGTCACAGCCGTCCTGAGGACGGCCTGAGGACACGGGCTTTGACGCCTCCATCTCCATCTTCATCTCTGGTGGAAGAACTGCCATGGCGGAAGTGAGGTGAGGAATCGAGGATTTGAGGTGAGGAAGATCCCCCGACCCCGCCCACGGCGCCCGAGCCAAACGCCCCAAAACGCCCGTTGAAAGCCCGGTTTTGGGGCAGTTGTTAGGTGGCTTGGACACCTAGGTGTGGCCTTGGCACCCACTGGGATCAGGTGATCCAAAGCCGGAGAGTTACCTTCACAAGTTGAGCAGCTGGGAACTGTTGCCTTTGGGTGTACTGTTGCAGAACACTGCTTCGAACCCTGACATCCCCGGTGCCGATGCCTCGGCACCTCTGCGGGTCCGTAGTGCATGTGGAAGGCCGGGGCCCGGTGGTCCCGTTTGCCATGGAACTCCCGGAACTCCCATCCAAATCTGTCGAGCTCTATCTTAGAAAGATCTGCAATGCCAAGGCCGAAAAAGCCACGATCACAAGCGACAAACACTCTGAGGCACCTCAGGAGTCTTTTGTTTAAACGTCAACTTCAAGGGAAAGAGGTTCTTTCACGGAAGGGATCCTGCAGCACCTAGAATCCCCAAACCCGCAAATTGTGGCACATCAGGCTTCTGCCTTACATTCACCTGATCTGCTGCTTCAACAGCGCTCCCTTTCAGTTCTTGATTTTGGGGATTCCACCAACCCGCGCAGCAAAATCAGGACTCCACACGTTGTTGGAGTTTCATCCACCGCGGAACCAGCAGCTTTCGGAACGCAGCACCTCGCGGAGCCCAGAAATCGCTGGAAACAGCCAGAAGCTGGTGGACCACCATACCCAAAACATGCTACACACGTGCCAAGAGTCCAGCATCTGTGTAGTACACCAGGCAACAAGGGGCTTCCACATGGGTCAACAGTAAAACCATGGTAAAACCCATCAACGGCGTCGCGGGGCACAGGACTCAAACCGATCAACGAGATCGAACCAATCCGTACGCCGGTGGTGGGGGGGAAGGCCACAAGGACCGACTGGGGAGAGGAAAGAAGGGTCAGGGGGCGCTGCAAAGGCTGATGTTCTTGGAGAAATGCATGGATTCTTCACAGAGTTAAGTTCTCGCAGGCGCAAAGTTCAGGGTAAAGTCTGGCTTCGTTCCGGTCGGGATTTCTGGGATACACTACGATGCCTCCGTGCATCTTGAGACTGGCCCATGATTCAAGGAAAACATGCAAGGAGAAGAAAGCAACTTCAGCATGTGCTTTGACCTTGGCCCCATGCTTTGACGCACCTGATGCTTCTCTCAGCGTGGACAAGACCAGGTTCCTCTCCTCTTCATCCTGTCGCACGGTTCATGGACAGATTGAATTCAAGAGAATTGAAGCTGAATCTCTCAACCCAGCCTTGCAGAGATTGTCAAACCTCAGCCGATCCGATGGCTGGCGTGCTGCTAGTCTGCCGCCATTCTGCTGCCATGTTGCTGCGCTGCCAGCAGTGGCATCTGGGACGCCCAGGCGCTTTCCGCTCCTCTTCCCCGAGCTCCTCCACTTGGATGTCCTGGATACCATCCGGTGAACCACCGTGCCCGAAATAGATCTGGCACACACTGCACCACCGCGGAGGACAAGCCGTTCACCCCTCACCACTCACCACACCGGCGCTTGGGACCCGGGTTTGGGGGGGTTGCGCGCCGAGCCTGGCGAAGCGCTTTCCACAGTTGTTCATTCCTGCAAGGTAGAAGGTGAGAGATGCTTCGGTGGGACCAGCAGCAGTGCAAAGGTTCTACGAATCAGACTCAAGCGGCAGCGCTCACACATGGACCACGTGAAACTCGCTTCCACAAAGGTTCCGTCGCCCTTCTTGAGGCCCAGGCTGCTCCAGCATCGCAGCCGGCACCTGCATTTTCTGCAGACCAGTGAAAAAGACATTCGGAAAGGTGCGAAAGAAAGCAGAAGAAAGGAGAAACAAACATATATCCCCCTGGAATCAACTCACCATACCCCCCCGCACCCCTTGTGGTCTTCGGAGAAACAAGACATCCACTGTACCATGCTCCGACGAAGAAGAACTGAGTCGACTCCGCATCCGGTCCACTCCTCCTTCGGGTCACCGCGGTGCATCGACGCGGAGCGGGGCGTTCGCCTCGTCCCGTTCCAGGAAGTCCTCGTCCTCGCCCAGGGCGGCTTGATACCTCGGGAGACGGTCGCGTCCGCCGCGACGGTACGTCCGACCGGGACGTCACAGGGACGTCATGCATCCGATGCCAGAAACATCAGAAACATGTGATATGAGTAGAAAAGTGGATTTAAGCAGGGCGGCAGCCCCAAGATCGATAGGTAGGTTGATTGATTGGATTGATAGACTAGATAGACAAGACAGGCAAGATTAGACACGAGTAGATTCTACTAGATTGGGTTGGATTCGATTGGATTGGATTGGATTAGAGTCGATTGGATTGGATTGTATAGATAGATTAGATAGACTAGCAGGATAAGAAAAATAAAATAAGATGCAACAAGATCAACATAAGAAAGAAAGAAAGAAAGAAAGACGAATATTGGTTGTTTCTAAATAAATCCCCCTACCGGTGATCAAACATCTTCATTTCGGAGGGTTGTAGGTCGCGAAGTTGATCGTCTCCACGCCGCAAGGTGATCGTGGACGGGTGATACATCATGCATGAACGCTGCCGACCGAGGAGGTTCTGAAAGATCTCTTGCGTGAGTCATGGACCAAAACTCTATCCCCATGGGGATACATCATGCATGAGTCAAGATCTCCAAGATCTCTTGAATGAGTTATGGATGGAACCTATTGGAGATTTCTCTACACCGGGTGAAAATAAGATGGCACAACTAGGATGCCCCCAAAATGGGTAGATGGCACGGAAAATGTGCAATGAATAATGCGTGCAATAAAAAAAAGAATCCAAGAGCAACTCCAGGCAAACATGAGGGGTAGATGGCGCAACTAGTGCGAGCATCCCGTGTGGTTAGCCAAGTGTAAGGGAGTGCAAATTGAAGAGGTAGATGGCACAACTCAGTGGCCAACCCATAGGAACCAAATCAATGGTGCCAAGTACTAGCACCAATTGCGCCATCTACTCCTGAAGCCCTGCACCTCGTGGTGTGCGCTCATTTCTTCCCCGCATCCCTTGATCTTGCATGCAGATTGGTCGTTCAATAAATTCACTGTACCGTGGATTGTGTGGTATACAGAGTCAAACTGAAAGATCATTTTAGTCTTTCTGGAAGGACTCAAATTGTGGATGGATCCAACACAAACAATGGAACCACAATAAGCGCCCAAAGAAAAACATGTTTGGGCTTTTTTTTATTGCATCCATTCTCAATGTTTTTCACTCATGAAAATTGCATTGCGCCATCTATGGAGGCCTTTTTGGCTTGATATGCACAAAGTTATGCCTCCCAAGCCCACGCGGTTGAGCGCCATTAGGGAAAAACAAATAAAGATGGAAACAACAAATGCCTTCTGCCTTTAAAACAAATTGAAAACCAAGTAGATGGAACGCCTGGCCAGTGCCTGCCTGCACCTGGAGTAGTGCCATCTACAGATGGCATTTCCCTAATCGGGCACCCATGTTTTCGACCCCTAGTAGATGGCACTGTTCAAAAAACGGTGTCTGAAATTCTGACAGCGGAGTAATCCCCATATGGCTGTGGGTCAAAACCAGGAGACCTTTGTTGACCTGACCTTTTATAGGTCTGCGCTTCCCACAGCCCTTCACCATAGCGGAGGTCAAGCTACATGGTGTGAGGCTCCAGGTTTTGACCCATCCCCACATGGGGTTGGGTTCTCAGCCAAGAGTTCCTTGCCTTTTTGGGGCCGCTTCCGTGGCTTTCCGATGTCCCACCCCAGCCATTTGGGACCACACTCCGCGTAGCGGTTGCGATTCCGCAAGATGCGGGCGTACCTGCAGTCCATGATGGCAAGGCGGAGGCGACGGCCAGGTCTTTCTGAGAAACCAGTGGTTTGGACCTTGGAACTGTCGTGTGGGGCATGTGAGGGGAATAAATTCGACAAGGTGTTGGAATGCACTTGTTTGCTGGCTCTTCATGCTCCCTAGGCCAAGCTATTGTGCTTTGCGGCTCTGGAGGCCACAAAGGGTGACCATTCCACATTCCTCTACTCAATTTCAAGGGTAATTCAAAACATAATCTTGCGAAAACCACCAGGAAACAAGCCGACAGAATTTGGGTGATTCGAAGACTGTGAGCAAGAAACAAGACATCTTGTGGTTTCCCATCCACCTAATCTTCATCAAAACTCGTTCTTGGCGACCAGTGCCAGCCCCCCATTCTCGCCGACCTTTCGGCCAGCTGACCAGTGACCTCTGCCACGATGGGAACACCCACCTGTGTGTCACAACAGCGGTTGGTTGGCTTTTGACCAAGCAAACCCCAGAAAGGCGTATTTATGTTTAAAGCCCGCACTGTCTTTAATTAAGTAGGTGCCTACTTCATGAAGTAAGGGAGCAAGTTTCTTTACTTAGGACGCAGGAAAGAGGTTTCTTCAAGGAAGCCCGCGGGAACTTCCTTGAAGAAGCGCTCGCACTAATGATTTGTCTCCTAGACTGTTTGGGAAACTTAGGGTCCACTGGAGGTTATAGAGGACACAACAGACCAAGAAACTGGTTCAAGTTTCTTGATGTTTTGATGCCCCTGTTTAAAGTATACACTGTCAAAAAATTGATGACGCGGCTCTCGTTTATAGTCACTCTTAGATCTCTTAGGTCCAATTGGGGCGTCAACCCATTTCGATCGCGGGAGGATTAACATGGAACCTGAAAACACGGATTTTCTGGAGGAAACTAGTCTTCTGAAGGTTCATTTTCAGGTTCCATGTTCATCTTCCTGTGCACCAATTTGACCCGCAATAGGGTTCATTCCTAAGAATTCCGAAGCTCAAATGCCTCGTCCCACCATCCTCATGGCGTGGCCGCGGGCGAAGCTTTTATGGACACTAGCATACCTCTACTTCCTCATGTCAGAACACTCTCATGTTCAGCAAGCGATTTGCTTTCGACCCCTCTTGTGGGTCAAGAACTGGACTTCTGCGCGAACCCCACCACACAAATCTGTTCTGCCAACTGGGCTGGCACACCCAAGGCCCCGCAATGCCCACGTCGAAGATCCACCCGCGCTCTCCCACGCGGAGGTAGCCCAACCTGAGCAGGAGCAGTTTGGAAGGGTATACTAACAAGCACGATCCCAACGAATAAACCGGGCCGCTTAGGGCACACTGCCGTGTTCAAGGAGACAAACACCATGAACTCCGGAATTCCATCTCAACTCCTTTGAGTGCTGCAGATCCGAGAGACGCCTTAGCATGAACACCTCGAAGAATTTCCGGAGTCTGCGACAACCTGTCCGAAAGTCGAAAAAATATATATACATATATATATATATGTATAAATCTATATATTCCCCAAGCAGTTTACTGTTGGGCCTCTGTCTTAGAACAAAAGAACTGGCCACACTGACTGGCCGCGCCCCTGAACTCTGTGGCCGGGCTCTGTGGCCGGGTCTTGTTCTCCTCTTCTCCTGTTGGTGTCCTTCTCTTGTCCTGCTGTTGTCCTGGCCGCGCTGACCAGCCCTGGCCACACTGACTGGCCGCGGCCGCGCCCCTGTCGCCAGGCTCTGTGGCCGGGTCTTGCGCTCCTCTTGTCTTCTCTTGTCCTGCTGTTGTCCTCCTCTTGTCCTTCTCTTATCCTGCTGTTGTCCTCTGGCCGCGCTGACCAGCCTGGCCACACTGACTGGCCGCACCCCTGAACTCTGTGGCCGAGTGTTTAGAATGCTGAGTGACGTCCGATCGGACGCCCGCGAAAGAAGCGGATTCGCGTAGGGGACCGTCTCATACTGTTGATAGATGGGGCGCCCGATAATGTGGCCGTGAGACGCATTGGACATTGTCAATTTGTTCATGAATATGGTCAACAGGGGTCTATGCTGGTATAATGTGTGTATATATATATATTATATATAGATAGATAGATATTCTATACTACTATATATTTATTCATCTCCACCCCACCGTCTCGTCTCCTTCCTCCGAACTGTCGTCTCTGAGCTCACCAGGCGGATCCGCCTCACTGGGCGCTTGGACCTCCGTGACTTCGAAGACTTCGCCCGCCTGGGGCCGGAAGGAACGCGCCGGAGGAACCCGTGGGTCCCGGGTCGGTTCCGACACTAGGGGAACACGGGTCCCCTCTTTTTTCGAAGGTCACGTCCAAAGAAGGAGGCCAATAAAAAGATCCATAAAAGGACCTGCTTTCATCAGCGTTCGGGAACATTGACCTGCACTCGGACCAGGCGAAGAATTGGGGGTCAAGGAGACAGTCCATATGTTGAGGGAGAGACGCAAGTCCAATTCTGCACAGAGCGCTTCAAATGCTCTTGAGTGAGACAGGATGATGTTTCCAATGACATCAATGATTGGATCAATTCGCGCGCCGAAAGCCACCTTAACTAGCCCAATCTAGCCTTATCAAAGCCCTATCTAGCCCTATCTAGCTCGGCAGCTTCACCGAAGCTGAAGTGGCCTTCACCATACCACCCATGAGCTCGGAGTCCTTGGACGGCACCAACGGCGGTGCGCGGTTCAGGCGATCCTTCACCCGGTCCGCAGTTCTCGCTGCAGATCTTTCATCGTCCGAGCAAACCCTAAAGCTTACCTGTTCTGTCTTCGAGTGGACCTTCGTTCATGCTGGGACTCCCAACAGCATCGGCCTCCGAGCGCAAGTTGATCCTGGGACGGCCGCACCGGTGAGTTGTGGGAACCCCGCGAGCGCACCTTTTCGAACCTCCCCAATTTGGGTCATGGCACATGTGTCCCTGTGTCAATGGGATTCAATTCGTTTCAAGCCACGGAGAGAAGTGGAGCAGCGATGGAGCCATTCTATCAGACTCCACTGAAGTGTGTCAACGACAATTTGCAGAGTGGTTGGCACGAGATTTTGGACAAGACTCTCATGGACTGGGACACCACGCCCACCCCCCTTCGTCCAAGCCCTCCATAAAACTGCACACGGGGTCATATTCCTGGCCCCCGCACGAAGTCTTTGCAATGTAGATCCCCGGACCAACCTTCACTTCTCAAGGACCATTTTAGACCCGATTCGTCAGCGAGACTGCAACCACTGGTTGAACACAAGCACGACTAACTTTGGACAACCCGAAAGTCAACATTCCATTATATAATCCATCTTAATTGCTTTCTGTCAGTACGTTTGGATTCTTTTGCTCCTCCTGCATGCCTCCAGTTCTGGCCTGGGCTCATTTGGCCCCGAATTCACGAAGATGGACTCCGAAATTGTCCAAGAAAACCTCCCTTAGTCAAGCGTTTGCATCAGCGGAGGCACCACAATCGCCTGGATGGGTTCTCTCATCAAAGCCAGCTGCGCGATAGCCAAAGCAACAAAGTATGACCAGCTCAGAGCCAGCCCAAAGACTTTCATCTTCAGGAAGCCTTGTGAGAGCCACAAGTGCAGCACAGGATCTACATTGTCACTATCCTTCAAAGCTTTCTCTAAGCAGGCATTCCAAGTGATCACTGGCAGAATCTGCACAGTCAGCACAATCAGCGAGGTAAAACAGTTGGCGACCAGCAAGCCATTGAACTCATCATATTGGTCAAAGCTAGGATCATGGTCAAAGCGTCTCGATAGACGCCATGCAGCCAAAACCCCAGTTGCGACTGCCATGAGGTCCAGCACTACACCAAACTTCAGCATCAAGCTCCAGTCGGACGAGATGTCCTGAACCTTCCACTTCAGGATGTCCAGCTGCTCTTTCACCTGCATCCTCCCCTCATTCCCCGAGCCCACCTTCTTAAAGAGTCTCTCAGAGGTCTGTGCCAGGAATGAACATTCAGCTCCAAAGAGAATAGCATTGAAGAGGCGAAGGGGAAAGATTGGAAGCCAAAGGGCCAGGTAGTAGAGCTCAGGATGCTGGGTGGGCCAGTTGGGCATGAGGTATGTATCCTGAGATGGAGTTTGCTGATACTTCGGCATGCCCGACTTGGTCTTGCTAAGCTGTGAATCTGCCAGAGTATTCACAATCTCTCGGATGCGAGTGAGATGTCCACTGAGATCCTCTTGGACACATAGAAACCCAAACATGCTCAGCCCAAGCACCCCATAGATGCCCAGTTTCAAGAAGACCTCCGACTTGTGCGGGAGGGCCACAGCTTGGGAGTTCAGTTGGAAGCCGCAGATCTCCAACGTCTTCCTCTCTGGCGCTAAAAGCTTCTGCGTTTCCTTCTTGGAAAACCTGGCATAGGTCGCATCCTGAAACTCCTCGCCTTTGGGATACATTGCTTGCCACTGCTCCAGCGGGCCGTAGGCATAAAGCCACTCACGCAAACGCTGTGATGCTACTCTGCTTGCAACCAGGCAGCTGGCTGCAACACTGGTAAAATGTGCTGCCAAGCAGCCAGGGGTGATTCCAAGGTTGCTTCCAAAATCATAGTGCCCCAACTGCGGGATGAACTCTTTCACTTGCTGAGGCAGCGGACTTGGTGGTAAAAAGTCGGCATGGAGGAAAGAAATTTCAGCTGCCAGAAGCGTCCAAACCAGGAAGTAAAGCAGAGGGAGTAGCTCGACTAGTCCCAAATGCACCTTTTTGCGCAAATCATTGATGTCCCCTGGCTGTTGAACCAGAAACCTTCCCAGCACAAGCATGATCACGGCGCTGACATCTGCCTGTTCAGACACATCGTCAGGATTTGCATTGTTCGCCACAAGCTCACGGTATCTGCGCATGTACTCTTGTTCCTGTTGCAAGGTGGGGGACCGCGGTTTCATTCAAACAAGTGTTCATTCAACCTTGTTTGGGGTGTAGAAATCGGGGACACCAGTGATTGACATGCGTTAATCACCATAACCTGATAGAGAATTCTCTGTACTAGTTGGGTAGAATCCCAGTACACCATGTGCTGGAGAGTTGGAGACATAAGTACAAACACAGAAGACCCCTGCAATCGCTACAAACTGCATCTGGATGGAATAGATCACTGACCTTGCATGAATATGATATGCAAGTGAGACAGAGTCATATAAGATTGCGGTCCGACCTCACCACTGTGTGCCCATCCTGTGGTGGACTTGTTTTTTCACTAAGTGTGTGGTTTTCGTGTGAGGGAGGGCCCTGGTCTCGCTGCCTGCCCCCTGCTGGTCTCAGAGTCATCACTCACACGTCAGCTTGCACAAAGCAACATGACATGCCACAAATCACCGCACGCACCACAAATCGCGTTGGCTTTACCACATGTCTGGTACCACATGGGTGTGTACAGTACTTTAATAGGGAGACCTCCAACCAACCAATGGATTTTGGATGGTTTTGGTCTATTTGAGTCTATATCCTTCCTTCCTTCCAGGGGATCGTTGCCTGGGAGGTCTCCCTGTGTTGATACGTCACCCAACAACGGCATCCCCAGCTCCATCCACTCCATCCATCCATCCAACCGGCATCACTCAGCTGGTTTCCATCCAGTCGGATCGGCGAGCAAAGCAGGCTTAGCGTTCGAGCAAATCTATGGAGAGTTGACACAGCAGCAGCAGCACTGGCCGATTGACCGGCGGTCCACGGCCTTTACAATCGGTTCCAGGCAAGAGCAATGAAGTCAGGAATGCCTGCCTACACGTCTTCCAGCCCTAGAACCTGTTTGACCCCTGTTCTAAATGAAAAAGGCCCCTTTTTGCGGGAGGTCCTGAAAGACCGCTGCTCCAAAACAGAATGGAAGCGATTCCGAAGAGTGCTTCGTTACAAGCAACTTACAAGCATACACAGTTTTTTCAATCTGGACACATGTTTTTCTTCCACCACCAGTGCCTCTCTCAGGAGATCCCGCGACATACCCCAAGGCAGAGCAGGTGCGCTAGCTTCCCCTGTTTCAGCCATCACCATCGGATCACTGCTCTCTCCACGCTTGGTTTGTAGTCCCAAAGGCAAACACAAGCCCAAGGGGTTTTGACAGCCAATGCAACAAAGGAAAGACCCCCAGCTCCAACATGAGAGTTGCTTTTCATCTCCATTGACTTCATTCGCCACGCGGAAGTGCCACCAGTAAATCACTCCTGAGCTGATCCAGAACCTCAGGGCCAACAGCACCCAGAAGTTCGCTGAAGCCTCGCGCAGCACCACACATGCAGCTGCACATGGATTTGCATGGAAACAAGTTTGGAAGATGATTCTCTTACCAGGTGTTTGTCTTTTGTTGTGATAGTGAAATGAGTTTTGTCGAGGACATGCAATTTAAAGGTGCAACTGTGCGAAACTGGCAACCAAGTGTGACCGAAGAAAAGGGTTCGTGAACCGCGCCTTTTCCAGTCCCGCGTCATGGCTTGAGCCACAAGTCGTGCGGCGTGTGAAAAGCGGCCTTCCATGGACACTGCTATGATCGAACCTCGACGCACGGTAAAAGCTCAATTTCACACCGGTCTCTGCCGGTCTCTATTCTTTGGAGTGAGATCATTGCAATGTCCTTTCATGACCTCCAAAAGAGTGGCAGGCTTCATTGCCTTGATCAAACAATCCGCTGGCACGCGGTCTGTACTCGTCCAGACCAAGCTTGTAGTCCGATCTGGCGGAATGTGATTCGTCAAAAGTGGATCACCCAGCAACTCCCCAGGTTGCCGCCACACCAGCTGCCTTGTCGCGCTCAGGTTAATGGCCAAGCGCTTGTCCTGGACACTGTGCAATCCAGGTTGTCCAACATGTTCGGACAGAGAGCAGCAGTCGGTGTAGAGGTTCATCTTCACAGCATCTTGTGCTGCGATCTGCGACTGGAGGAGATCATGCCCATGCTCACGCCAAAGGCCATGAAGAACATACCTCACGCGCTCACATTCTTCCATGCCAGAGATCATTGAAAGCATCTCGGCCTGTAGGGTCGATCGACCCGTCCAGCATGAGCAAGTGGCCCTGGTGGGTGTGCTGGAAGGATTCATGCGCCGGGCATAGCAAGCGTCCACTCTGGCTCCTCAATCCCAATCTCTTGCCGCTTCCGCTGACATCAGCGTCATTGGCAAATGAAGCATCTTGGACGCCAATGACCATGCTCTCTTCAAACTTGAACGGCTTCAGCGGATAGCTGATGCCCGTGTCTTTGCTGCCAGGCGCGATCTTGACAATGCTGTTGGCAAAGAGGATCACAAGTCGCCTGAGAGACATTGGGTTGCAGGTAGCTCGCGGCGTAAGAAAGTTCAGGTTGGGAGACACGAGCCAACCAAGCCAAGCTGCCAATGATGCTTCTCAACTGGTCTTTCACATGCTCTGGTACTCTTGCAATTTTGGATATGCGCTGCTCTGCTGACAAGTACACTGGACGAACACGGTCATTGAAGTTCGGACAACTGACGTGTACTGCAGCGTCGTCTTTCTTGATCTCGCGGCCGCAGTATTTGAACTCATTCTTTGAAAGCTTTCCGAACTTGTATTCCTGGCAAGTGGCTTCCATTCGCTCAATGATCACTTGGCCACCTGTCCACAACAGATCGTCCACATGGACGACAACAAGGCCTTCCACATAGTCGCCTGTCTTCAAGCTGCAGGCGCTGCAGAGGTGAAGCCCTGCTTAAGAACTCTTTGGTCCCATGGACAGCCGAAGAGACCATACTGTAGTAGCGTCCCTCCGGCTCACCTGGGATTTTTCGCTTAGGCATGGAGAGGATAATGCGCGATCCAACTTGGACTCTTGAAGGAACGCCGCACTGATCTCTCCAGTCCAAAGGTCATCATCTCGGACAAGGTAGGCATCGAGAAAGTAGGGTCATCTGCGAAGCATCCTCGAGGTCAGGACTCTGCATCGGATCTTCTGTGACCTCTGCTTTGTCGACGTCTACCCATTGAGTGGGAGTCACCCAAAGGCCAGGGATCTCCTTCTTGAGCTCGGCTCCTGAAGTCTCTCTTCAGCCAACCCTTTGGCCATCGGTGTATTTGGTCCAATTGCCCCACTCCTTCCGCCTTGCGATGTCGAGCTTCTCTTGGACCTCCTTGGACTCTTTCTCATAGACCGGCTGTCGGCCAGCTCCGGCCTTCTTCGTTCTCTGCGCCTTCTTGGTCTTCTTCTTGACACGACGTTCTTGGCGTCCCATCAAGAAGGCTAAAGATGGAGGTCGCCACACATTCATCATAGCCACGATTCGCTCTCGGTGGCGCGATTCCATCAAGACGATCAGGGTCAAGGCGAAGTGCTTGCGTCAATGGGGTTACTGACGATGGCACTTCTTGTTCATAGATTTCTGGCATCAGTCCTGGGCTCACTTCAAATTCAGGTTGCAAGCTGCTCGTATCGCTCGCGTGCCAGAGTTCTCCACAGGGATATCATCAGCCATTTGCTCTACACCCAGCGAAGGGCTCGGACTGGTTGAAGTGTCCTGCGCCACAATCTGGTGAGTCATTGTCCATCAAAGCTTCATGAAAACGGTGTGGATAGCCTCATCCTCGTCGTTCACATAGGCATAGCCCTCGTCAATGCGATAGCCATCGAACTCCTCATAGCCTCCAAGGCTCTGGGAATGGCTTTCCCAGTCTTCGCAATCGTAGTACTCATCGGCAGGCTGAGTGTGGTAAGCTCGGGACCAACTGCGATGCCTGTCCTTGCCATAGCCCTTGGAGTTGAAGCCCTTGCCATAGTTCGAATGGTGTCCAAAGCTCCCCTTGCCTCTTCGAAGCTCTTGCTCGTGAACGCGGCTGCGCTGCGCGACCAATTCTTCACAGATCTTCTGATCTTCTCCATATTTCTCCATGGTGACATCACCATGTACAGCAGCTCGAATCAGCAGTTGGTGGTCGCTGCTGATGCCAGAGTTCTGTAATGTTTGTTAATCGCTTCTGGAAGTTTGAGGCTGCTGTCCATGTCAAGCATGAGGTTGTACCAGTCCAGTCTTTCCGCCTGAGAACATATGAAGGAATGCTCTCTCCATGCTGCCTTGAAAGAACGCCTCCTTTTGTGCCCCGATCTGGTACAGGGAGCTCTGCAGGGCTTTCAGGAGAACGCTCGCGCCATCTTCGCCGGCAAGGCGGTCGACTAAAGCTCGAGCGACTTGCAACGCCGGGCCTCGGAGCCCGTCCACTAGCCTCAAAGCTGCTGACCTCACCGTCGTAGCGCGGCACACCAGATTTGGCTTCTGTGCTCCAAGCATCATCTTGCGCAGCAGCTAAATGTCTGCCATCGCAAACATTCCACGATCGACATGGCGTCGTGGCCCAAGTGGAAAAAAGATGTGATCCCCCAAAAGGGAAAAGGGTCTTCCAAAAAGGCCTGGGCCCCACAAAACGCCCCCGGAGTCGTGCTCCGCTGCCAATGCGAAACTGGCAACCAAGTGTGAGGGTTCGTGAACCGCACCTTTTCCAGTCGCATGTCATGGCTTGAGCCACAAGTCGTGCGGCGTGTGAAAAGCGGCCTTCCATGGACACTGCTATGATCGAACCTCCATGCACGGTAAAAGCTCAATTTCACAACTGGACCGTTCCGGGGACGTTCTTGGACAGTTCCATGGGATGCACGAGTTCTCCCCCCCAGTGCCTGCCTCGTCCCCACAAGACTTGACATAAAGAATGGTCAGCAGCACCAGAAGCGAGGAAACCACCAAGGTCACGCGTGCGCCCGTCTGGCCGCATCCCTGACTCGAGGCTCGAAGGATGGCATTGATCCTGAGCCTCAAGTTTCTCTGGTCGGCCCCTTGGCAAATCGCCACCAAGATCGACACAAAGGTCGAAAGGAGATAGATCATCAAAACGGCTGGCAACATCCAAGCAGCAAAACTCAAGACCGTCATGCTGGAGAGTGCGAAAATATCCGATAAGGCGATGGCCACCAAATAGGTCGTCCGCTTCTCTCTTGCAATGCATTGAGTTTCTGCCTCGATGGGCGTCAAGTCCCGGTCAGGGCAGTTGCCCACATCATAGATGTGCGGAAGCTGCAATCCCATGAGAGTGACATTCTTGCGCTTCACACAAGTGAATTCCTTGGCCTTACACTTGCATAACTCATCATGCGTTCCTTCCGCCTTCGTGCTTTTCGTGCTTCCGTGCGGGCAACCACTGCACATCTTCCATCGGGACATCTTGGGCTGAATGCTGAACCAAAGGATGTACCAAGAGTTCTTGAAATGAAGTGCATGCGCTTCGTCACCAAGTCGATGCATCAAGCGTGTGGACGTATGGTTCAGGTCAGCGACCACGAGCTGGGAGGTGGAAGTCATGAGTTCGAGAGTCTCAAAATGTAAATACACATCCTTCTTCAAAAGAATTAAGCATTGGGAAGCGTTCAAGCTGGATTCTATGCAGTTGGCACCGCTAGCATGGCATCCAGTGCCAACTATAGCATAGGCCCAGGTGTGCTTGCCAGGGTCCAGAATATCTGCAGTGCTGTATCTGGTGTATGTGTCTCGCCCTTTACACGCTGGACAACGACTGCAGTCTTTTGCAGCGCCATCCCACCAGTGGTGGTCGCCCACGGTTGAAAAGTAACAGGTCTCTTCATTGCTGAAACAGATTCGACATCTCGTGGTGGCTGTGGTGCTCGCGGTGGCCAATGATGCCCAAAAAACCAGGCACAGGATACAACACTCAAGCAGAAGCATTCTCAGGCTGACGAGAGGTGTGAGTGAAGCTGTCGCAATAAAGGTTAGTAAGGCTGGTATTTGCGTGCGCTGTTTCCATGCTTAATGTGGATCTTCCACAATTCTGGGTAGTGCTTCTGGCTGTGTCCGATGTGAACCATTGGTAAAGGCAATGCTTGAGTTAGGGTGACATTAGGTGAGGTCTCCGTTTTGATGGCGGAGATGTGTGGATTAGAATCTTGAGCCCAAGAAAGATGTGTTCTGCGTGAAACCTGTGTCAAAAACCGCATGAAAACACCAGTTCGCTTGTTCTTTGTTTCCTGAATGCACTCTCAAAGAAGCTTGCTTAGCAATCGGCCTCTTCGCTCCACTCTTTGATGGCATCCGACACCTCCTGTGCTTCACCCAAAGAAAAAGTGATCTCAAAAGAGCTGTGCATCAAGCTGCCTTTGTCCTTTCCGTCTTTAGGTCAAGCCACGCCTGCACCCTAAAGCACCCAAAAAATCATCCATTCTGCCACCGATGAAAGGAGGAGAGAAGTCCTCATCGGGCTGAGTTGCAGAAGCCTCAGGGATCATCTCGAATTTCTCGGGGCCCGAAACGGTCCAGTTCTGCACTTCCATGTTCTGAAAAAGCAGACCTTTTCGCTGGTTTTTTTGGAAAATCCAACTGCGCACCTCCTGCGAGCTCCATGGACCTTTTCCAAAACACTTGGAACGTTGACACCCAAAAAGGCCTCAAACCTTGGTCACCCCTAGGCTGACGAGGAAGAATTTGCCCAAGTAGCCGCAGAGCCACTTGAATCAACCCCAACGGATTCAATGCAACCACTCCCGAACATTGAAACCACCGTGAACTTCGGGTTTCAAAGAGACATTCGGACCGATTTGAATGGTGTTCAAAAATGTGTTGTGTGTTCTTTCTGAAAATTTCACTCTTACGGTAGGTCTTACACAAATTTCACTTTGTTTACAGCACTGTATGTGCGCAAGATTATCCTTGCGTTGTGCTCAATTTCGGCCAAGGATACGCAAGTTCAATCAATGTCAGTGTCCAGCAACCTTACAGCACCATGCTTGGCTGCACATCTTGACGGCTAACCTTACGGAAATCATCGCAAACCTCACAAACATCAGCTCAAAAATCATTTTGCTCACCGATTTTCACTGACCCCTTACTAAAAATGAAGAATGATGAAGAGGGAAAATTGGAACGCTGCTCATTGGGGTATCGTTGGAATGTGGTTTTCACCGACATGTACGCAAAATCGAAAACCAAAATTAATAAAGATAAAAGCATTATCCCGGCAAGAGACCCCAAACGGTGTTGAGTAGATTTTGGTAGAGAATGATAAGGGTGAGTAAGCCAATTCCCGCACTCTAGGGCACACATGAGATCATACACATGAAACATGCATATGAAAGCGCACACATGAGAGCACACAAATGAGAGCACACGCATGTGAGCAACCACATGAGAGCACAAATATGAGAGCAAGAAAGGACTGAGCCTATGAGAGCACGGGTATGAGCGAGCACACGTATGAGACCACACAAATGAGAGCACACGCATGTGAGCAACCACATGAGAGCACACATATGAGAGCATACCCATGAGAAAACATGTGAGCACATCGATGAGAGCACACACATGAGAGCACACGTAACAAGGCGTGCCTGCCTGAGCACACATATGAGAGCACACGAATGAAAGCAAACACGTGAGAGCACACATACTGTAGCAAGCACATGAGAACAAACACATGAGTGAGAGCACCCATACGCATACGAGAGCACGGGTGTGAGTGAGCACACATAAAAGAGCACACCCTTGAGAACACATCGACATGACGCCGCTGGGCACGCAGCCTGACCGCAATGAGTGTCTACACAGCCGGATCTTTAGATTGTACTCAGTGCTCAGTGATTGTTGAAATTTCGGTTGGCTGGCGATCTTCCAAACTTCATTCAGCTGCCCGCGGTTGATAGCTAACAGGCAGGCTTTGTTATCGACGCTGTTCTTGTCCGGAGCACCCGCGGCCTTGCTTTTCAGCTTGTACAGTCGGGCCTGAGGTCGCCCAATTGATCTTCCACACTCTACACATCCTCTCAAATTCCCTTGAGTCTTTGCTCTGGGAGTCCACTTCGTCGGACTCGAAACTGCTGCAAAAAGCGGTTCTTTTGGCCAGAAAAATCAGTGATGATGTTGAAATTCATGTCACCTCCGCCGCGTTTGCACTGTCACTGTCCTGCATTGATTGGCGTTGATTGGTTCAATGGTTCTCCTTCCATCTCCTTCCCACAGATTTGGCGAAACCACCCAAGTGCACACTTGCTCAACTGTTCTGCAGATGTTGGTGTCATAGAAAGCGAACAAGGTGCGGTGGCACTAGACCTTCCTGAGTGGGCTAGCTAGCCCGCGATCTAAATATGACGCTGTCAACTGTTTGATCAATTGCGCTAGCATCGACAATTTTTTGCGCCCAGCGCCCAAGCTCCAAAACGCACACCGCCACGGACATCTAGCGCGCGCCAGCACATATGAAAGCACGTACATCATCGCACACAAATGAGCACACCTGTGAGAACACACATATACTGAGAGCACGCAAACGCGCAAAATGTTCTGTCGTGAGTTCGGGCCACGCTGGCGATGCACATGCTGCCATAATTAAGGCTTCACTGGATACGGCTTGGATAGGTCTCAAGCACCAAACCACCGCCATTTTCAACCATCGATATTTGCAGGGTTTTCCACGTTGCGCCGTTCCCAGCAAAGAAGCCTCTATCAAAGAACTCTTCTCGAATCTTTCACTATGGCGGCTCCAATCCAATATACCTTTGATTGACTCAACACATTCTTTTAGGCTCTGAATAGGCTGAGCGCCTGACAATTCGTTTTCCCAACAATTCATGCCCAAAGGCAACGGCAAAGTGCCAAACATAACCCTCGAGCACAGGTCCGTCCAGGACCTACAACCCTGGAGCGCATTATCTCCGATGTTGACTTGGCCGGTCATGTTGTCAAATGAGATGCTGGCGTCGGTGGCTAAAGCGGCATCTGTTGGCAGGCGGCGTCGTTGGAAGCGAAGCACTGCTCTGGCTGACACACGGGTCCCAACTATGATCCTGTGAAGGTTCGAAGTCAGAGCGTGCTGAAGACCACCAAGTCCAAAGTGCCGTGCCTGCCGCGAAATCTGCACATCAAAGTAAGTCGGCTCCGATCCCCTGCATCGGCCACGACAAGTCAACTTGAGACCACCACAAGGGTTCCCTTGTGCCTGCCACGAAAAAGTGCCCACCAAGTCTGAAAACGCGCACGGCGCCACAACGAGAGCGCAGTGGAGAAGTACCCGCTCTCGGCCAGCAGTTTCTGCGAGCTTGCGCAGTCAAAATGCACTTCGAAGATCTTGAGAGGCATGAATGTAGCGTAAATAGCAGCGAATCAGCCGCCACAGCCGCCGCCGTCACCGCCCGTGAGCACCCTCGATCAAACCCAGCCTTAACCCTTACCGAAAGAACCTCTAGTGTGACCCCACTGTTTGGGAAACTAAGAAAAAACAAGCATACAATCCTTCTTTTGGATGGCAGGACCCTGTTTCCACACCACCAGCAACTGCGGTGGTGGTTCTTAAATGTCCCCTGGAGCCGGGTCACATCGTTCCAACATCCCAGGACCAACTAGTAGTTAAGTATATAAATCAGTAAGTTGCTGGATGGTGCAAATCACATCACCTGGTGTACCCTGAAAAATGAAGAATCGATCCAGGCGTAAGACGCCTGCTTGAGACTCTTGTGGATTTCTACTTACAACTCGTCGCCGAAATCCAAATGAGAGGCACCCCTTGAAACCAAGCGAAGGCCCAAAAACCCAGAAGCCCCTCTTCATGCTGTCTTGGGCACCGTGGCCCAAAAACAAATCACCCCCCAAAAGCATCAGATAGACCTCCAAGAAGAACCAACACCCCTGTCCTCTTCAAACCACCTCCTCTCCAACTCGTCCCCCACACCCGCCCGGGCCACCCCGGCCGGGCGAACCACGCCGTGGTTCCGTCGGACAGGTCTGGCACCCTGTCGGGACCAGCGCAGGGTCTCTCATTTGGGAGCGACTTCATCTGGTGGGAAAGGACTCTGACTCTGCCAGATTGAAATGGTATTGTCATCCTATTTTATCCATGAACAGAAGGGCTCTCTGTGTTATCAAACTAGGACAGGAGGGTGCGAATCCACTCCAACAAACCATCGCCGTCCAAAACCGTGTTCTTCTGTTTTCAGGCAAAACAGAAACCATCCCAAAAATGTTTAAAAAAAAAAAAAAAAAACAAAAAGAATATGACAACAACACTACAGGTGAGCACCAAGACTCGGGCTCACCCCCCCTGTGAGGTCTGAAGACTCGTCGGTCGATCCACGGCTCCACCTCGATGAAGTCGCGGCTCTCCAAGGCCCAAGCCTCGGTGCGTCGATCCTGGTCGGTCGTGCTGGTCGGCGCGTCGGTCCGCCTGCCGGGCGTTTAGCCCAAATGGGTCTACGGTAGACCATCCTGAACTCCAGGGAGTCCTTGAAAGCTCCAGGTGAGTTGGACCTCTTCCTGTCCGGGGACAGCAGTGGATGGCGCAGTTCGGTTCTGGCGCTGTCAGCACGTTCGCTGACACAGCTGACCGGAACCAAACAAAATAATGCACAGAGATCACTGACACACCTGAGCCACAAATGTCAGACCTTGAGCTGGGGCGATGACCCAAAGAACCAGCAGCAATAATCTTCTGCGGAAGCTACAGTCAGCCATGGCTCCACAGCTGCAGAGCTCCGGCGTGGACTACATTGACGACTAGTGAGACATCCGTAAGACTTGCGACCCGCGCATGCTGCTGAAGATGTTAGAAGTTGTTTGAGCTCAGCCAATGACGTCCAAGTCCGTCAAACAATGACGCCCTCCCGTGACCGGTGCATCGGTTCCTGACCGGGTCATGAAAGTGAAAGAGTACTGTTTTTGGGGGGTAAGCGGAGACGAGACTAGAAGCTGAGAAAGAGAACGCATTGCGACTCGGCGAGGTCACTTGCTTTCTTCCTCTGTAAGCTGCATTGATATATATATATATATATGTGTGTGTGTGTGTGTGTTATGTGTATATATATATATTATGTCAATATTCAATAGACACCTCTTTGCGCAGGCGCAGGCTTCCACCTTCATTTAACGCTGAGCGCAAGCTGAAGCCGAAGCTGCACATGCTGAGTCCTGGTTCTTTTTGTGAAGTAATGGACGCTGACATCCAAACGCATGTCTGACAGGCATGGCTCCAGTTGGCAGACCAAAGACCCGAACAATCATTGGCTGAAACAAAAGCAAATGCGTGCCGTCTGCTAGGGGATACTGTACTGTATCTAGTCATAAAGTGCAATCAGAAACCAAGACTTTCGCCGACCAATACTGTCCAATGCGAAGGACGTCTGCCTTCACCGGACTGCTGCCAAACCGGTCGACCGAAGCAGTCAGACATCCACCTCCTGCCCTTGCACTGCACCCGGAACACCCCCTACCAAAATGGACCGCCGGTGCCCCCCATCCCCGCAGGGCGGCGCACACACCCTCCAGCGGAGGGTATCTTTTGGAGCGATGAACTCGGACGAGTCCGAGCGCCCACTGGGTGGGCGAGACTCGTCGCCCCTTGACCGCCTGGCGCGTGGGACGAGAGGGACCGGGGAGGGACCGCGGAGAGGGACCGCAGGGTTTAACCTGTCGTGTTGGTTGAGGGTTGCTGCAAGCGATCGGAGGCAAGCTGGACTCAAAAACTTCTGAGCGCCGGACCCGCAGCTAAGCCCTAGCTTTCAGTTTAGCTTTCTTTTCCTGCGTGGAAACGAGCAAAAAGGCTGCTCTAAAATAAACAAGGAGCACCTGCCACGCGCACCGCGCAGCGCTCAATCCCCTGAGGTGTCAATCCGAGGAGTGCCAGGACATCGACATCGCCAGCACCACTCGCGGACGGCGCCGACCAAACCAACTTCTCAATTGACCAAAGCTGGACTGTCACACTGCCTGTGGTTTTGGGGATGAAAAATGCTGATTGATTCTGGCACTGCCGAGACAGGTGGCCCCTTCCAAACTCGTGTCCACCGCCATCACGTGCCTTCGGCGCATCACTGGCCGAATATGACCTGAGGCGTTCGCGATGTTCAATCCCTGACCTTGGTGGGATCGACCACCCGAGGTTGAAGAAAACAGGCTGCGACCGACCTCCCCAAACCCTGAAAAGCATCGAACACCCTCCTGCTGTCGACGGCAGCTCCGTGCACCTCTTTCATCGCTTAGGCCGGTTCGGCAGGACATGCCGAAGCACGTCGGAAAAAAAGAACTGTGCTGGTGAGAGAGGGCACCATCCCAAAGTACTGAGTGTTTATTAAAGCAAAAAAATGATATTCTGTTCACCATGATTGGATGGATGTCGACCCTACCAACCGAGAAAGCAAAACAGTGGTTTGTTTTGTCTCGTTTCGCCGTTCGAACACAACAACCGAACACAAGTGTATGTGGTTTGTTGGTCGTTTCGCCGTTCGCCTGGATCGCTTCTTGCGGTCATCTTTCTCTTTGGTCTCTTTTGCTTTCTCTTTTTCCTTCTCAGAAGAGAAGAGCGCCAACTGAAATGTGCACAACGCTGCATGTGCGAAGTGCAAGAAAGAACGATCTGGACACGAATATATTTAAACACCTATAGAGGCCTTCGCCTTCTCTTTTTCCTTCTGTTTCTCCTTCGCGGCTTCTTTCTCCTTTTGCTTTGCTTTGTCTTGCTCTTTCTGCTTGTCTTTCGCAGCTTCCTTCTCCTTGGGTTTCTCTTTCCCCTTCTCCGTATCCTTTTGCTTGTCTTTCGAAGCATCCTTCTCCTTCGCCTTTTCTTTCGCTTTCTCGTCCTTCTCTGCGGCCTTCTCCTTCGTTTTGTCTTTGGAGCTCTCTTTCTCCTTCTGCTTGTCTTTGGCCTTGTCTACCTCCTTCTCTTTGGCCTTCTCTTTCTCCTTTGTCTTCTCCTTCTCCTTCTCCTTCTCCTTCTCTTTCTCCTTCTGCTTGTCCTTCTCCTTGCCAGACTTTGCCTCCTCTTTCTTTCGGGAATCCTCTTCATGCCGCTTTGATCTCTCCAACTCTTTCTTTTTTCGTTCATCTTCCAACTTCTGCTCCAACTTGGCCTGCTCTTGCTGACGTTCCAGCCGCTTCTGCTCCTCTGCCACGTGAGCCTCAAGCTCCCTCTGCAACTGCAGCTCCAATTCCTTCTGCTTGTCCATCCTGAAGGATTTTGCCACCAATTCGTAAGAATTGGAAGTAACGGTAAGTGAACTTGAACAAAAAGGAACCCTTTGTTTGCCCCAACTGAACCCCTTCGGTCCTCTTCTGTTCCTCTTCCAGCTGTTGTTGAATGTCTCGTTGGAGCTGCGACATTGCAGCTGCCGCAGGAGCATCTTCAGCTGCAGCCGCTGGTTTTTCATCGGCCTTCTCCTCCTTTGATCTCTTCTCTGACGGAGAAGTCTCGCGGTCCTGTGGGGACGTCAGCCCGCCAGGAGGTGGGGGTACTGCGTCCTGTATGTTGGCCAAGAGGCTGTTTTGTATAGGCACTAGCTGGTTCATTCACTTTAATATACTTTAATATATGCTTCTCATTTGTCCAAAGATTCTTCGCCAGAACCAGTTTTCTGCTCCACCCTGTACATTGCACATAGTGTCTGCTGTGTGAAGTATCCCATTTTCGCATATCTCCACGGTCGATCGAAGCGAAATGGGTGCATCGATCACCCCCCGCGGTCCTTCCCATCTTCTCGTCCTTTCTCTCGGTCCCGGTCTCGGCTCCGGTCCCTGCTCTTGGACCGGTCCTTCTCCCGATCTCGGCGCTCCCGGTCCTTCCCCCGGTCATCCCGGCGATCCCGCTCATCGCGCCGGTCCCGGCCGTCGCGCCGGTCCCGGTCGTCGCGCCGGTCGTCGCGCCGGTCCCGGCGGGCGTCGCGGCCGTCGCGCCGGTCGCGGTCCCCACGACGGCTGCGCTCGCGGCCGTCTCGGCCGTCTCGGCCGTCTCGGCCGTCTCGGCTACGGCGCCGACTTCGGTCACGGCGGCTCCTGGGGCCAGGTGAACGGTGAATATTTGGGAGCGTCTGAACATGTCTGAACCCAATCTCAGATGTTCCAAGCCTGGACTTTTTCTTGCTCTCCGACCTACTGGCCTTTCTGCTGGCTTTTCTGCTGGGCTTCCTCGCAGGTGTGCACGACTTCGTTGGACGAACGCGAACAACGGCTCTGCAACCGGCTGAAATGGTGTTCTTGAGAGAAGGATGAGAACGTTGCTCTGTATTTTCATGCCTAGCCCACGGCCCGGTGAACGGTGAAGGCCTCCGACTTTCGCTGCTTTCGCTGGGGCTTTTGGAGCGTTTCTTCGCCCTGCGCCCGTGTGCCCGCTTCTGAGGGGCACAAGAACATGCTGAAGCACTTGGACCCTCAGACCTGAAAATAGGCGTAAACGCCTCGCTCGCTGCGCTCGTCTTCGTCCAACATGATCCCACATGTTCGCCTTCCGACCTTTTCAAGTCGGGCTGATTGCAAACAACTATGATGAATTGAGATGAATTGAGACGCATCGATGGGCTGACTTTGGAGCCCGGAACCGCCCACCACGCCCTGCTGGGCCCAAAGCCGGGCACGACTGCCCGTCCGCTTTCGCGCGACCGACGCCGGCGCCTTCCGAGCAAACTCTCCGCTCGCTGCGTCGTCGGACCACCGGCCGTGTCGGAGAAGCCCAGCGGCGGCGGTGGAGTCTCCGAGAAGCGCGAGCCAGCCTCGGAAAGGAGAGGCAGACAGCCGGAAGCTGAGCAGTGGTGTTTGGTGTAGCGAAAGACCAGGGAGACATCCAGCAAGGTGTCATTGTCTGATGTTCTCTCATCTCTCTTGCAAGAAATCTCCGGCAAGGCATCTCACTTCAATACACCCCCACCCAAACACATTCATAGCATGTTTGTCTGTGCGCTTGGATGTTTGAAACTGAAAGTGTTTTGGATGTTCACCTGTTTGGTCCGTGTTTCGGTTGGTCGCATCCAACACTTGCACTGAAAAAGGATGAAAATGTGATCAAAGTTCTAGGCATGTGACATCATGTGACAAAAACAATGCCCAAATGTTGGTCCATATGCAACACCTTCGACTGGACGGTCAACCACCTTACATCCCTTCCAGGTTGAAGAGGTGGGTCTTAATCGGTCCACCTGGGCCCCTGTTTTTTGGAGTTCCCGTGTCTGGGTGCCAACCGGCTCTGACTAAAGTGATCGAAAGTTTCTGTAGAGATCACCCTGTCACTTCGCGTCCGCCCTGTCGGCCATCCACAAACATGCCCGACAACAGTCATCTGGACCCTTTTTGGGGTTGGTCGCAGCCTTTGAAGTCCACTTTTTCCTTTCTGGGGGGTCACCCCTACTTCAAGTTATATATCCGTATGTACGAAGAGTCCTTGGCCAAGAATAGTGAGATTTCAGCAAAGAGTTCAAAATCAAAGGTTAAGGACTTGGGTTGTCACCCACCAACTGGCCCCTTGGGTGTGGATGTTTAAAATTTCACTCGAAATCAATTCGCAGTTGCCTCAAGAGACCCAGAGACCTGCTCACCACAGACGGAGCTCGTTGTGGGACCCAGACATGACCAAACAAGATGATCGACACCCGAAGTGGAATTGACATCTCAGGATGCTTGGATGCTTCTAACAGGAAGCTTTCTGAAAGACCAACAGCCAACAAAAGAAGAACGCACCAAGGATGGGTCTCAAGGGTTCTTGACCTCAACCATACTGACCATACCTTTCTTTTGGTGTGCCTTTGTCGCGACCTTCGTAGGTCTGAAATTTAAAGGTTAGCGTGGCTCAAACGAGCGAAGCATCATGGGCATCATCAGAATAGAGTTGCAAAAGGTTGTATTACATTACATGGTCTTACATCCGGGGCATCCTCCAACCAATGGGTCCTTAGTATATGATGCCTCTATGAATTGTGAGACGCTCAAAAGCAGCACAAAGTGTGTGGACTTGAAGCAGTCGAACTGGAATGGCCTTCACAGCGCAAAACACTTAATCTTCTGAGCAGCAGAAAAGCCGGGAGGCACCCCAGGCGTACTCGCCTGAAAGCGAAGCCAACTGAAAATGCAAATCTTTGCAAACCAAACCAATGTAGCAAACCAAAGACTGCTATATAAACTAAACTATACCAACATAGAATCTGTACTGCAAATGGCGAAACCTGGGAGGAGCTCGGGTGAACCCCCCAAACCAGTCGGAAAAAAAGAGGGTGATGTGAAAACCTGCAAAACATCATCTTTAGATACCCAAACCTGCTGGTGCACCACCCCAAACACCTTCACTTCCCTTCACGTTCTCAGCCCCCCCGCCGGTGTGCCCGTGGTCACCGGCAGCGGAGGAAGCCCTGCTTTCTCGTGGAGTGCCGCCATGACGTTGGGGGGCGGTCCACCCGGAGGCTGAGGATTGCCGTGGGAAAACTTGCATCGGTCTCCACCTCAGTGGATCGGTCGCCACTCGCGCTCGGATCGGTCGGTCTGCGGTCTCGGCGATGTACCACGCAGTGTGAAACACACACCGTCGCCGCAACCGGTCGATCTGAGTACCACGTCGGTTGGGGGGAAGACCCATGTTGGTCCGACGGGTCTTCCACGCTTCCGAGCAGTTTCGCTGGGCATCCCCGGCGGCTGCACACCCCGCGTCGGAAGTCACCGCACATCTCCATGGACTGCGAAGTCGCCGGTCGAAGCGCCGGTCGCAAGCGGAGTCCCATCGGATCGGGACACCTGGAGGCTCTTTTGGGCCTCCCGGATGGGGTTGGGTGGGTGCACCTTTAGAGAGATCTTTAGCGAACATGCACTTATGTACCTATTTAGAACATCTCAACCATTGATTCACAGAGAAAATCCTCTCACTTTCACCGCTCACTCGCGACGCCCACTCCGCCCAGACCCGTTCTGTGCGGTGCGGCCTGCTGGCGATTGGATGCGACCTGGAAAAAAAGAACCACAAGACTACCAAGAAGAAGTGGTTTTTCGGGAGTGAAACCAACGGCACAGATCTTATCAGAGACCGTGACCCCGCCCGCCCTCTTTCAGAACCTCTCCTATTCTTCGGTTCCTTCACTTCGATCCCGACCCGATCGTTCACCTTGGCAATCTCGCCCGTGGGAGGTCCCACCGTTCCGCCTGGCGCGGAGAGTCCGCTGGGAAAGGAAGGAAGTCACGGGTGCTTCGTTTGGGGAAAGGAAGAAACCCAACAAGAGCAGGCCTGTCAGGCCTGTTGTTTCATGCCCTGCCAAGCATCAGCCCAGAAAACATTGTATTGACAACATCCCGGCCCCTTCAGGACCTTAAGTCGGAAAGAAAGAAAGCCATCTTGCACACTTCGACACGATGTTTGTCTCCATCTCCGCCTCTGGCAACAAAACGACCTTGCTCCATCTCGGTCAGCTTCACTGAGAGCAATCCCGGAGGGTTCCGTGCGGTCCTCGGACCAAGCCGGCTGGGACGGAGCTTCCGTGCCGTCCGAACGGAGCGCATCGGTCGCTTCTCGCGGCTGTGCTGTTTTCAAGCTGGGAGGAGAGAACAAAGGAACAAGAAAAGGACCATAGGTCGCCGTAGGTTCCAAAAAAATGAAACACCGGTAATGATTTTGCATGTTGCACATCGGATCTGCAGGTTCGATGTTCGAACCCCACGTGTTTGCCATGTCTTCTCGTGCTCCGACGCCATCTGTGCTCCGGACGCCATAATGTCGCGAAGGGTGGCCATGTCCTCGGGAAAATAGGAGGTCATCTGGACGTGGTGACGTGAGCCTTGTCATCTCAAAGGATCTTATTGGACCAACATTATCTCACCGTTGACTGTTGTGACTGGGCTCTTCACATCACTCCGATGTTGGCTCACATCAACGTGATGGCTCAACCAACATCATACAGATGACTCTCCGTGGCCGCAACAGAACCAGAGAGTGTTCAAAGCGAAAAAGAAGGTGTCGGTGTCGGTGTCGTCTTGAGGAGAGGGTGTTCGTCTTGGCCCGAGGGGCGGGCCCCCGAAACCCATTCTTTCATACAAGGGGGTCCCAAAGATGGCCGATGCATGTCGTCCCATGTTCCAAGGAGATCAGCCGTTGCACTCTCCGAGTCAATTGGCGACCTACAACACAGACGCCAACCGCGGCTGGGTCTAAGCTGGCCACGTCCCAAAAACTGGAGGCCTCAGCATCCGTCCAGCGCTGGCGCCCAAGCATCCCGCGTCCGAACAATGGGGTTCTCAGCGCCGAACACGGCGCAGGAGCGTCTCGTTCAATCTCACGCGTATCCTCGAGATGTCGAAAAGCAAAGGAAGGCACTCAGCAGGGCAGCACATGAGAAAAATCCAAGCAAAAATGTCCCTTGCCTGTCATCCAAATTGAACTTTGTCACCAAAGACATGATCTCTCCTCGCAAGCGAGCTCTAAGCCATCAAGTAACCAGCATAAGACAAGAAAGGATTGGCATCATACGCTTTATCTGGGCGGCCGCAGCATTGACTGGCGTCTTGTGACAGCCCCTTGAATAAACAAGATGGAGCCCACGAACCCGAATGCAAGCACGTTCGAAAAGCTACATATGTCCAAATGACACTCTTGTAGGACACTCTTGTGGGACACTCTTCTGGGACACTCTTGCGGGACACTCTTGTGGGACACTCTTGTAGGAAACTCTTGTGGGTCACTCTTGCAGGACACTCTTGTGGAACACTCTTGTGGGACACTCTTGTAGGACACTCTTGTGGGACACTCTTGTAGGACACTCTTGTGGGTCACTCTTGTAGGAAGCTCTTGCGGGGCAGTGTTTTGGGACACTCTTGTAAGAAAGTCTTGCGGGACACTGTTGTAGGACACTCTTGTGGGACACTCTTGTAGGACACTCTTGTGGGTCACTCTTACGGGGCACTCTTGTAGGACACTCTTGTGGGACACTCTTATAGGACACTCTTGTGGGTCACTCTTATGGGACACTCTCTTGTGAGACACTCTTGTAGGACACTCTTGTGGGTCACTCTTACACGACACTCTTGTAGGACACTCTTGTGGGACACTCTTGTGGGACACTCTTATAGGACACTCTTGTGGGACACTCTTGTAGGGCACTCTTGTGGGACACTCTTGTGGGACACTCTTGTAGGAAACTCTTGTGGGACACTCTTGTAGGACACTCTTGTGGGACACTCTTGAGGGACACTCTTGAGGGACACTCTCTTGTGAGACACTCTTGTGGGACACGGTTGCGGGACACTCTTGTGGGACACTCTCGCGTTTACGCCAGCATGTTTCGCGCACGGCGCCACGCAAACGCACTTTCCACCAAGGCCGCGCAAACCCCAATGGCACTGCAACATCACGAAAGTCGCGTCGCCACACGGTCTGCCAAGACACTAGAAGCAAACACCTCACACGATACCGCAAATCATGCCCGCTCACCAGTGACACGCCGCCTTTACGCCAGCGAGGTTCGCGCTCCCCAGTGGCACGGCGCCACGCAAACGCACTTTCCACCAAGGCCGCGCAAATCCCAATGGCACTGCAACATCACGATCGTCGCGTCGCCACACGGTCTGCCCAGACACTAGAAGCAAACATGTCAAATGATACCACAAATCATCCCACTCACCAGCGACACGCCGCGTTTACGCCAGCCTGTTTCGCTCTCCCCAGTGGCACGGCGCAACGCAAACACACTTCCCACCCAGGCCGCGCAAATCCCAATGGCACTGCAACATCACGAACGTCGCGTCGCCACACGGTCTGCCCAGACACTATAGAAGCAAACATGTCACATGATACCACAAATCATCCCGCACACCAGCGGCACGCCGCGTTTACGCCAGCCTGTTTCGCGCTCCCCAGTGGCACGGCGCCACGCAAACGCACTTTCCACCAAGGCTGGGCAAATCCCAATGGCACTAACGGCGCGTCGCCAAACGTTCTGCCCATACACTAGAAGCAGTCATGCGAGCGTTTCGTACGAGACTTCCTCCAAAAGTCACGCCTCGAGGCTGCAAGACGAGCGTTTCGTACGAGACTTCCTCCAAAAGTCACGCTTCGAGGCTGCAAAACAAGCGTTTCGTACGAGACTTTCTCCAAAAGCCATGCGTCAAGTCTCCAAAACAAGCATTTCGTACGAGACTTCCTCCAAAAAGTCACACGTCAAGTCTCCAAAACGAGCGTTTCGCGCGAGACTTCCTCAAAAACTCACACGTCAAAGTCTGCAAAACGAGCATTTCGTACGAGACTTCCTCCAAAAGTCAAGCGGAAACACCCATTGGAGCACACACATCACGCAGCCCTGCCAAGCAGTTTCGCGATTCCAGCCCCTCCAAACAACACCCGCTCACACGCCAATCCTAATGTGACAGCGACGTTCACCTCTACCACAGCTCGCAACCTCACGATTCCCTGCGCCTGCCACGAATCTTTCCGCGTCCACACGTCTAACGTGCGCAAAGTACTGCGCCTGCCACGAAATGTCACCTCCGTCACACCTCACAACCTCACAATTCCCTGCGCCTGCCACGAAAATCGCACTTCCACACCTCAAAACCCGCACAAAGTACTGCGCCTGCCACGAAAAGTGACAATATCATCTCATGTGAGCTTCAACAAAATTTGCACCACACCACATGTTTGGAATGATTTCGACCCGTTCTGAGCACACTCCCATCCCATTTCAGCTGAGACTTGTCACGAAAACAGAGCTTCGATGCCACACCCTGAAACGCAAATTCCAATGGCACTGCCACGTCCAACACCCCAAAATCACGACTCTCCAGACACTAATCCCAATGGAACTGTGCAGAAAACTGTGGATCTCACAAAACGCTGCGCCTGTGCAGTGAAATCATCCTCCACACTTCAACATCTTACATTTCCACACGATTCCTCGCTATTTCACACGAATCTGACACGTCACGTTTTCATCCGAAACCCTCTCCAAAAGCTTCCCCCAATGGCAGCGCCTTAGCGCTCTACTGCGAACGGTTGCGGACGGTTGCGAACGGTTACGAACGGTTGCGAACGGTTGCGGACGGTTGCGAACTTAGAAACCACGGGTCGCGAACAAGGCTCTGCCCCCAGACCCCCAGAGTTAAACGAGAACCCTTCGCTACGCATTCGGGAAAAAGGGACGACTTGGGAGGTCCTATGAACTTGTTGCTTGGCCGTTGGATCCAAATACTTCGTCATTCCATTCACCCACTGGCAGGTTCAGAATCTCCGGGAGCTAACACGCTTGGGGTCTTGGTCTTGGATTCGATGTGTTGCTGCTGACGATCTAAGAATCTAATCGATCCACAATCACCTCCAGGGCTTCCCGCCCGGTTAGAACCAGGGGGTCCCTGATGGCGCCTTGCATCACCGCAGGATCTGGAGGAGGCTGATCGGAGGGCCGCACGGCCGCCTGAAGGGCGATCGCCGAGAAAAGCTCCGCGGTCGCTTCGCACGCGACGTCGGGGGTCACATCGGGGGTCACATCGGCTCACGAAGACCGGGGAGCAGATCAAGCCGTGCAAAGACCGGATGTTCAGTGATGACATAGATGTGCATGTCGTGGTTTCCAACTCGGCAAGGACTCAATCCGAAACTGCCAAATACAAGAGTTGTTTAAGAAATTCTCCTGCTTCACCCCAGGTGCCCAAATCTTTGTCATCCTTCTCCCCTCGAGCCCGGGCCACCCACACCGGGGGCCCCCGCTTTTTCGTGTGCGAAGCGGCAGTTCTCACCGCGCGAGCAGAAGCCTGGCAATCCCCCCGCCGACGCCGGTGAAGGACGGACGAGCAAACTAGAAATGAGATCTGAAAGGGTAATCCCTCAGATCGAGTTATAATAGAACACCTATACTATTGTTTTATTTATATAACTTATATAGAATTATCCAGGGAAATACGTGTTCATCTTGTTCGGGATCGGGAGATCATTTCTTGAGTGAGACAGGGAGGGATCTTTGTCACCCCATGTTTTTCATGGTGGGCAGTGGGGCAGTCTCCAATGTCTGAGCGATGGCCAAGAAGCTGGGTAATGGGACTGGTGATCCGTTTGACCGGTCTGTGTGGGGTCGAACCAAACCCACAACATCGAGCCACAACGCTGGCATTTGTGGATGGTAGACCATCTGGTGAGATAAGCGTGCGACCCCTGGTTGGATGGCAGGGTTGGGCAGGAGAACAAACAAATGTCAGGACTGGTGTGTGGGGAAGCCCCATCTAGTCTAGCACACACCCACACCCACATGAACAACCCCTCCTTCATGTACGCCGGTTTTCAGGCAAGCTTGAGGCTGACCGGTCCTCCCAAAAAAGAGGGTCCTGCACCTGAGATGAGCATGGGACTCTGTCATGTCTGTCTTCGCCCTGCTTGCCACGCCACATGTTCCCCCGCAGCATGTCGATGTCGCCTCTCTGGAAGTCACCACACATGTCATTGCTCCTGCCGAGCAGCAAAAACACCATGTAGCTAGCAGTGGTCCCCAAGCGGGCAGAACCAAAGGCGACCTCTTTCAAAGTAGCTGACAGAGGTAGAAACCTGTCAAGGGCTTTTTGGAAGGGAACGATCTCTTTTTCATTCCCCTAACCTCTCCAGCTGTGTGGGACTGGGCCCACGGCCCACAGCCCACAGCAATGGGTCAGAGTGAATCGATTTGGGGACCAACAAAGTTGGAATTCCATGGCCATCCAAATAGGAGAGCTGTACCCACATCTCTCTACACCAGAGCGCCACCATCCCCACCCCTGATGCTCGCCTCGCAGGTGCTGGTGTAAATTGTTTGATCTCCCGAAGCTTCACCTTAAACAATTGATGACCAGGAGAAGCAAAGGCAGTGATTGATCCGTGTGAGCTCCATGTGCTGGCACCTTCACTCAGCATCCAGAGCCGTGGATGAGGAGCCGACCAGCAACAAGCCAGGTGGGTGTCGAGCATGAGTAAGCTGGTTGAACAACATCTGCATGTCCTCGCCGAGTCACATGAAATTCCTCGTTTCGGCCACGACAATGCCGGACACGCCAGGAGGATGGGTTCACTCACGGGCCGGGCATCTACCGGGCCACGTGGCGATTCCCAAATCCAATCTCGGCGCAGTTCAACACCCCCAACAATGTAGATGAAGGTGTCAGGTGTGATGCCCTTATTTCACCCAATCATCCAAATTCTCCACGAACACGACCAGACTCGAGCTATTCAGATCTACTAGAATATCCCAAGAACCTATCAAAGAAACTACTTTCTCCCACTTTCTCCCAAGCAAGAACCAAGTAAGAACTGCCAGACTAGCTATTAAGATCTCAACTCTGGGTCTATCCAATTTCGAACTCTGACTCGCTGACTCGCTGCCTGTATGAAGGTTTGGCGCCGCCGCCCCATGACCTCAGGTCAAAAGAGCTTGGACCGGAAGGTAAACACCGTGAAACAGCAGAACGGACAAAGAAATTGAACCACACTAAAATAGTTTTTTTTAACCAATACTTGGATCAAGTTGGAGCTGTTCAACCCAAGTCTCTCCCAATCCAACCCAGTTCTCAAGAATGGTCCGCAAGTCACGTTTCAAGTGTCGCACATCCCGGAGCTCTGAGAAGACTCGATCATCCAGACCTCATGGGTGCTCTCGTGGCCGTGCCCGATCGGGACGACGATCGGTCACGGAACCCGTCGGACACCCGATCATCGCTGGGAAGCCAACCAAAACGTGTTCGGAATTCTGCAAGCTTCTCCTCACGCCAAAGGATGGCGGCAGAAAAAAGAAAATGTGTTCGAACTTCAATCATGTCCAAGACTGCCCACGTGGGTCCTCGAAAACTGCTTGTGAGACACCTGCAGCTGGGATCGCCGAACTCCGAGTCATGGGGAGTCACGGTTGTAAGGCGGGAGTCCCCCGCCAGCACCGGTGGTAGTGAACTGATTTGTTCAAAGCCCGCCCTTACTTAATTAAGCTTTAATCAAGTAGGCGCCTACTCAATTAAGTAAGGGCGACTAGTTCGCTCCTGGCTAGGACGCAAGACAACTCACGCTTCTTCAAGGAAGCTCCACCTGCCTGAGGGTGGGGGGAGATTAAGCGCTCCCACATGATTTTTTTTCTAGATTGCTAAACCATTCCAAACCCTTGGGCCGTTCGATGAAGATCAAGCAGTTGGGTCGAGGAAATCCCACAGATTCCGGGAATCCGGCAGGGGAGTCCATCTCAGGACCCCAGTTGAGACGAGAATAACGAGAACAAATGCAAAATCAGATGCACCAAGTCCAGGAGAACCAGCAATCTAATGCAATCTATAATCTGTGCCACATGTTTTTCTCAGGGACGACATTCTTTTCGACAGACACTCCAAGAGACTTGGCAGCTTTTGCCTTCAAAGTAAGGTGTGCACATTCTTCCTGCAATTTGGTTCCTTTGGTGCTCTGTTTAGACACTTATTTGACAAGGTGGATCAAAGCTCGGCAGTTACTACATGTTTTGCTACCTTACTAAACCTGTGAGCAGTTCAGAGGTTACCCTGGGTTTTCCTTTCCATGAACATTCATAAAGTGCCCTGATTTCCGTACCCCAAGTGCTGCAAAAGGTCTTGTGAATGAACTGCATCTTAGGTGCTGCATACCTAAAAGACGGATCAGTCAAATACTTCGCACTTGGACCCTCTCCTTCTTGCGGTGTCCCACCATCGGATCAGACTCCAGTGCACGAACGGCGCCGTCCATGGGTGACAGTCGTTTGGAGGATGGCTGACGGGCTTGTTCGGGGTTTAGGACGTCACAACTTTGATTTTTGATTCGTCCTGCCCCCCCCCCAAGAATCAATTGCGGCTCCAACTGACCCTTTGCTCACGAGTCAAAGGGTCAGCGAATTTCTCGTGAACATGCCGCTAGGAGATGCTTTGAGTCAATTGGTAAATGTTTTAAGTTCAGAGTCAACTCAACAAACATACAACATACAACAAGTATACGAGTTGATTGCATAGTTGTTTGCACTTTACAGTGCATCGAGTGAAATGATTACGGCTCAACAACAGGGGCAAGAACCAACCCCACCTGGTTGTGGGTAGTTCCCTTTTGGCGGATTATTTTTGCATATCAACTGGAGAGGCGGGAACGAAAGCAAACAAAAACTGACATGGGAAGATGCAAGCTGCTATGCTCCTACTTCAGTACATGTTCGAGCCCACCTTCATTGACTACCAAGCCAACGACGCTGGACTCCCGAGCTTCAGCACACAACTTGAGGCCGAGGGTAGGTGACGAAAGCTAGCAGGGGTGCATCCGGACTGGTGGGACATCAAGCGGATTGAGGCAAATGCTCATGAGGTAAAACGTTGTGAACATGTAAGACACACAAACAGCAATGACACAGCCAACCTTTGAATTGAAGTCCCCGATAATCAAGGAAGCGTGGCTGGACTTTGCCACACTATTCGATGCATCCGATGTGTTTACGAACCTGTGAGCTTGTTGAATCTGTTGCACCGTATCCCAAAACCTCCACGGAGGAGTTGAACCAAAGTGGATGCCATAAGAGGTGCCCAAGAGGTGTCCCAGAGGCAAAACACAGCTGCTTGCATGATTTACTTGGTTTCTTCTATCAATGTCGATGTCATGAACCTGTGAGCTTGTTGAATCTGTTGCACCGTATCCCGGAGGAGTTAAACCAAAGTGGATGCCACAAGAGGTGCCCGAGAGGTGTCCCAGAGGCGTCCCAGGTAGGAGTTGAACCCACCGGGGGGGAGGGGGGGGCCCCCTACATATGAAGTTTTCACGTGATGCGGCGATCTCGAGGATTCCAGCCCCTCACTTGCTAAAGCAAGGACAACTCCAGCTAGCTGGTGCTAGCTTTCGTGACAAACACATATTCCAAAACCTTTGCGTGCCTAAGCTGGTTCCAATGTGTGTGTCTTTTTGGAGCAGGGTCAATACGAAATCCATTCCTTGAGGGTGGGAAGGGCTTCTGATTAATTCTATCGAAGCGGGAACGGCAGCCTTTAGTAACTTTAGCATACTTCAGCAGTAACATGTCAATTCGATCCTTAGTGCAGACCTCCTTCACAGCCTGCTTTCGTGACAATAGGGCATCGGGCATGCAAAACAACTGTGGGTCACGGTCGCATCAAGCATTTGTAGAGCCAAACCCTGGGCTGCCAATGTGAACCACTGTGCCTTGATCCTCTTCTTCCTCCCCACCCTGCAACTTCATAATCGCCGCCTCGGCACAGCGAGTAGCCAAACTCAACCGTCCAACCAAAGCAATATATATATATATTTATTTATATTATATATATATATATGTGTGTGTGTGTGTCACTTGGGATTCCAACTTTCGCTTGTTGCTGCAATTGCTCCTGGCCACGACGCCAACACTTCTGCCCCCAAGCATTCCAAAGGAAATGTCGGTTTCCTCAAGCGAAGCCGTTGACACCACCGCTTGCGGTGCCTGCCGTTCGCCATGATCATCACGCAAGAAAACCAGGCCACAGCACAGGGCCTTCGGCATGGGGACCATCGCGGAATTGAAGGCATCTGGAAAACCTCCTGGCGACAGGCGCACCACAAAGACTTGTTTCTGAAGCAAGTCTTTAACTGCATAGACCTGGCAACCACCTGAGGGACCGTCAAAGAAGAGCTGCGCATCAATTTTCTCCTGGAGCCGGCAAAGAAGGCTCGACCTGAACGGCGCAAAATCCCATGCCCAATGCAAGGTGCACAAGGCATAAGAACCGTGCTTTCGACCAAACGTTATGACCCCCGAGTCCCTAAAGGCAATGTTCGAAAGAACATGAGCACCCCCCACTTTTGGTTCAATTGTCCCATGTTCTATCTACTTGGGGTGCCTGCTCTTGATTCGCTGTTAGCGATCTGATCAGCCCCTGAGCCATCTAACTTTGCCTATCGCTGCATCTGTTGAGTAGAGGAAGGGGAGTAGACACGCAAACACCACAGTTGCCAAGTCGGGTTGTTTAGTGACCAAGCGGGTCACAAAATTCATCTGAAAAGTAAGCCTTGAGGATTCAATCCTTCTCCTACCAAAAAAAAACTGCTTGAATTTGCCATGGCCAATGATGGCCAACGCACCTCTCTCTGCCATTTGCGTCATGCTCATCTCAGCCAAGGCACCGGAGGGAACGGCACCGGCACAGGCACCGGGTTCAGCGGCACCGGGTTCGGCATCGCGGGCGCCGCGGGCGGCGCCACAGGCGGAACCACCGGGCCCGGTGGGAGTTCTGGCGAAGGCGAAGCAGCGAAGGAAGGAAAGGGTAAATCAGGATTATTTCTATCCGTTTTCTGTATCTTCTTACAATTAATTGGTATTCTTGGGTAGCTTTAGATCTTCGAATGTGGGTGAGGAAGATGATTTCGGAAGCAAAAGAAAAGAAGTATACCTGTGGTGGGAGGTGCATGGGTCTATGTTGGTGTGAAGTGGTTTCACCCTCATCCCAATCGTCAGCAAATCTGGTGAGCTGTGGTGAATCCAAGGATGCTTCCAGACGGAAGGCCAAAAGAAAAAAGCCTCCGCATGTCAAAGATTCTTTACAGGCGGCCCACAGGCGGCTTCATCGGAACGTCTCAAAACATCAGCCACCACGACCCAAAAAGCCACCTGCTTGATTCGGCCCACCTCCCTGATTCGGCCCCACCGGCACTCCAGCGCCTCCCCCCGGGCCGATGTAGCCCGTGGCCGCAGGCGCTGGCACCAACGCGTCAGGTCCCGGCGCGGACCACGGCTCCGGCCTGAAGTCACCGGTCGCTAGCCGGTCTGCCCGTTGAGCGCCAAGAGCTTTTGTGCAGAACTTCTAGGAATTTCACATGTTACAAAAGAAGACAACAGACATGAAGTACATACTTGTGAAAAAAAAAAAAAAAAAACTAGTTGTGGGTGTGGTGTCTTCACATGAGTCATCTGCAAGATGGATGCTGAATGCTACTCGATGCAGAATGCAGAATGCTAGGACTCGCCAGAATCATCCCCCCCCAAAAAAAAAATGATGCTCAGTTGCTGATGGCAGGAAGATGGGACCCATTTCACCTTTCAGCCACTCTTGTGGGAGCCAGTGTTCCTCCCATACCGCTGGGCTCGCCCGGCGGCTTGGCAACCACACCCGCCTTGCTCATGTAGCTGAGCCTCGGGGAATTGCACGAGAAACTGTTTGGGTCCACCCGGTGCCCACTCTGAAACCGAGGCCCGGTACCCCTTAGTCCGTTGCCTTGAGCCACCCACGAGAAAAAGTCCATGATCACACTTGAAAGCTCTCTTGACATCACTGATGTCGCCCAAGCCAAACAGTTTGGTCCTCTAGGCCCTTTGTTGTTTAAAACAAACCCTTGCTATTCACGGTATCGTCAAAAAGGGCCGGATCACCTGTACGGACGAGTGCTTCTCGCCATCGTTTCCCACCAGCGAAACGGACAGCATCGAAGTTTCAACAGTTGCCCGTCCGCAGGTGACTTGAACCACACCCCAGCCAATTGCGAAATCTGTTTGTTTTTTCCGGATCAGGTGATCTTGCGGATCCTATGAACCTCAAATCCCTGAGCTACACGAAGGACACAATGGTGACTGGGCATCCCCACCCAGTGGCTGCACCGCTCTTGGCCTGATGGGTGGGTTCCAAACTCAATGAGCGTGTGCATGTATGTGTGTATAAATCAAAATGGGCGCTGCGTGGGAAGTGAACTTCACTCTCCACACCCCACAAAACACTGCAAATAGCATGTTGTTGTACATGTAAAGGTACTGGCGACTAGGCAAAACGCACTTTTGTTGTGCAATAAACCCGGGTCATTTGCATCTGAGTTCTGAAAGCACACGAACCCTTCAAAAACTATACGACTGATGGGAGCGTAGAAAGAAAGGTTATGTAGAAGAGTTTACAAAAAAATACACCTGAGAGTTTTACAGTTGCCTTTGCATGTATGCTACAACATGCGACAAGTAAGTGCACGTGCAGGTTGCAAACAGTTTGCACGTTTCTAAGAGTTGTTGCTACGGATGTGGTAATATACACGCCGAATTTACACCAGCGCGCTTTCCTTCCCTCATGGGACTGACTCACGCAAACGCGCCGAGCACAACCGCATGGCACAGCGACATCACAAACAGAATTTGACCACACAGCGCGCAACAGACTAGATACAACAATGTAACGTTAAGCATCGTGCTGGAGCAACACCGGCACCTAGGTTCCAAAGCGGCCACAGCCGTAGACATCTGGCAGCAGCACCAGCACTCCAAAGCGCCCATTGACGTAGACAACCGGCAGCGGCACCCTGCACCAGCAGCCAGGCTCCAAAGCCCACACGGGCACCGTAAGAATCCCAATGGCTCTTGCTATTCGCTATCTAGCGAGAACCAAACGGACCTCTTAAGAATTACTGTCGGGTGGGGGCGGCACCATAGCAGCGCCATGCAACAGCACCAACCCCAAGCTTCAAAGCCCATCTAGCAGCGGCGCCCTCCAACGGCGCTAGCGCCCAAGAGCAGCACCAGCACCCAAGCTCCAAAGCGCACGCGGCCACCCACCCAAGCTCCAACGTCTGGAAGCGGCACCCTGCAGCGGCACCACCACCCAAGCTCAAACCGCACACGGCCACACGTCCGGCAGCAGCACCACCAGCACCCTGCAGCGGCACCGGCGCCCAAGCTCCAAAGTGCAAACCAAAACGCCAAGCCACGGCCAGCACATGCACCTGCACCAGCATCAGCACGGCAGCAGCGCAAAACCAAAACGCCGATCCGGCACCAGCATCAGCACAGCAGCAGCACCTGCAAAACCAAACACCGAGCCAAAGCGAGTACCTGCACCTGCACCAGCATCAGCACGGCAGCAGCACCTGCAAAACCAAAATGCCGAATTTGAGTTAGGAATTGCACCAGCACCAGCATCAGCACGGCAGCGGCACCTGCAAAACCAAAACGCCGAGCCAAAGCGGGTACCTGCACCTGCACCAGCATCAGCACGGCAGCAGCACCTGCAAAACCAAAACGCCGATCCAAAGCCAGCATCAGCACAGCACAGCAGCACCTGCAAAACCAAAACACCGAGCCGAAGCGAGTACCTGCACCTGCACCAGCATCAGCTCGGCAGCAGCACCTGCAAAACCAAAATGCCGAATTTGAGTTAGGAATTGCACCAGCACCAGCATCAGCACGGCAGCGGCACCTGCAAAACCAAAA